AATCCGGCCTCGAGGCAAACAACGAATTACCGCTAGACGAAAACTACCCCCGAATAACGTCACAACAGCTGCCGGTGACAGCGAGCGGACAGCAACCTCTCTACGAAGACAATTTCGACGTCGCGCCGCAATTCGTGCCAAATCAAAATAGACCGACACAATTTTACGAGGAAAACAGCGAAAACGTAAGTAAATTCTTTCAGGATCGCGTTGTGAAAGAATAAATACTAGATATAATATAGATGTTACGAAAAGAAAAGAAGAAACTTTTTTCTCATTTGTAATTTAGAATGATCGTTTCCTTCAAATGTGACACAACTAAAAAAATAGTTTCCTAAAAAAGGGAAAAAATTATTTTTCAAATTTGACAAAAAATTATTGACTAATAATATCGGCAAAAAGAATATATTCTTAATATGATCAAATTTCGTTTTCGTTTTACAACCCTTTTTAAATTATGATGATTTTGGACGACTTCTTTTCAAAATTATATTTTTTTAGTAGTAACGTTTAAAAATTATACTTTTTGATGATTTTCTATGAAATTAAGATAATTGTACAATATTTTATTTAATAATGGTAATAATTCGAAAATTACGTTTTCTGAGTTGTATCATTTTAAAGTAAAGGAACAATTATGAAAGCGTGTTAAACTATTGCTATATAAATATTTGGCTAAATTATTATTACCAATATTTTTCTACGAGATATATCACTATAAAAAGAAATGTTTAAAACTGAAACATCTTTAAGTGTTTAAAAAATAGAGTCAAGAATAAAACATTTTAATATCTTAAAATTAAACATTTCTTTTTTTCAGTGATTTTACTCCTTTAGCTTGCTTAAATGTAACATGTATGTTTCTAGTATCCGCCTCAAGAATTTGTTCTAAACTTTGGCAATCTGCCGGAACAAATATCGCAACGTGAAGAATACGATCAGACTCAGCTGGCTAGTATTTCACCGAAGAAGTATAGCCAATCAAATCGCCCGGATGCGAACGCGCAGTCCAGCAGTGACATTTACGGCGCCGAAAGTCAGTGGTCCACGAAGCTGTCGAAGACATCGTTCCAGCCGAGCTTCGCCTCGAATCGCGTTCTTGATGAATCGAAAAGAAGCCGAAGCAGAACCGATAATGATCAGGAGAATAAAAACACGCCTGAGATTATTACGGCTGGACCAGAGGTGTCATCGGTAACGATGGTCGTTTCCTCGGACTATCAGAAACATCTAAACGATGCTGACAATGTAGACACAATGATGGATGGTTTCGGATGGAAAACGAACGCGCAGGATCACACGGAGAAATTGAACGCTACGACGACAGTGACGAATTTAGCGACAACAGTACTTCAGGATCAATCTCAAAGCGATAAGGAAACGTTGCCAGAATCGCAGAATTGGAGCGATCAGAATGAAAACTTTACGAAACAAATGGATGACAACGCGAGAGTGATAAAATCTGATTCTCTTATCGGTAGAAAGGTAAAATGTTCTAAAATATTCTAAAATAAAAGTATAGAACAATCTAATATTTTTGCAAAATAAATAATTAACGTTATCAAACAAATAACATGTAAACAATACTGAATTCGAATGTAGCATTAAAAGGACTAATTATAGTCCCGCACTAATTAAATGGAAAATTGGATCCCGAATAAATTGAATTAATTTTCACAGCTTATGATATAGTGAACAAAAGATAAGTTACAAATATAAGGAAGTTACAAATATAATATATTCAATAATCGATAGTTTTAGAGCTATGATGTATCAAAGTGTAAAACTTGTGCTCACAGAGCACTTTTAATATACCATAGTTGAAAACATTATTCAGCCTTTTATCTCTTCTTCATCACATTACAAGCTACATTACAGTTGAAAATTAATTCATTTCAGAATCCAATATCCATATAATTAGTATGGAGTTCTTTAAGTTATCTGAGGAGCCTTTCTTGTGATATTCTATTCTGCACGAGACAATGTACGTAAGAATAAATAAAAAATTTATTTTTCAGACCCGGAAAAGAAAAGTTCGCGTGCGCGTAAGACCTCTCGTAGACGATTTCGTCACCGCCGAATCTCAGCACTACAATTCTGCGGTGAACAGTCTGATTCAAGATCAATACAAGTACAATCCGATTCACGACTCGCGGTTCACCACCGCCCAGCCGATTGCGACGACCGTTACCATAAGTAGCACGACAGCCGCAGAATCGAGAGATAAGAAATCGCTTCTCCAGGATTTTCTGGAAGAGATGCTGAAGAATGATGAAGTCTCCATTCCGACTCGTATCACTTCGATTACTACCGAAATACCCGATTGGACGACATCGACACCAATGACGACTCCGTACGTTTTTTCTGATGATGATCAAGTTACAACCTTGAAAGAGAATTACACACCGATCGATACGACGCTGATAGCAAATATTGATGAAGAACGCGTTACAACAGTAACTGAAAATTTAAACGAATCAAAAGACGAGTCCTACGAAGCGATAACTGAAGTGCAAAAAGAAGTTAAGCCAAAAAAATACAAGAATTCACAGGAAGACAAAAGCGAAAATAATTTGGAAAACGTCGAGATATTTAATCAAAGATACAACCTACCATCAAATTATCCTGATGGATTAGGAATCTCGAAGAAAAACGAGGATAGCACAACGAAACTGGCTGGCTTTCCAAAGGAAGATAAAAAATTGAGTGCCATCAGTAAAGAGAAGGAACATATAATGACCTTAAAGAGGCAAGAAAACGAAGATAATGAGGCGCACCCGAAGAATCATAAAACCGAGTGGAGCGAAGTAAGATACCCATCGGATTTCGATAGGTCACAAACTACCATGAATTCATATACCACGACGCCTATCCCAGGCATCGTTATGCGAAACGAGGGTGAGAGCACTGTGAGAACACTCTCCGACTACGTGAAGGCTATCTTCGACAGTATGAAAAATGCCGAGGAGAATGAGGAGATCGCGAAAGTGATCGAAGCTAAAAGTGAGACAGATAATTATAATACAAATAGTACTGCTTTGGCCCACGCGGCGAGTATGAAAGAAAGTAAAGAGATCGATCGAAAAACCGCCACGACTAACTCTCCACAGGATATTTATGCGACGCAACGTCGTGTTGAGGTTGAAGAGAATGAGATAAAATCTAAAGAAATACAAGAAACGACGACGAAAGAGAACGTTATTAATTTTGAAACGACCACGAACACGGTTCCAGACACGACCACGAACACGGTGATATTGTCCGAGGAGACCTCAATAACAGAACCTTCGACGACGACCACGAAAACATCGAGTAGACAAATGGGTAACATATTTAGGACGAACTCTACGATGCTGGGCAAGGTTCTAAAAACCTCGACCACAACGAAAGTGTCTCACATGACAGAGATTTGTTATAGGGGTCGATGTGTAATGACGAGGCCCAAGATGGATGATGCTATGATGAGATGAGGGAAATTCGGTTGTGGGATTATTCTTAGCACTTTCCTGTCTATTAAAAGATAAACTGTAAATGGCAAGCAGAAGTTTTGAGAATTGTTTATCTATCTTTAGTATCTATTATTGTCGAAAAATACAGTAAAAGATAATATTGAATAATTTAGTAACATTTTCATCAATATGTTTGCAAATGATAATCCTTACATCTTATATTGATTTTAAATAGATCTGAAAGTTCCGAAGAACCAAGTAAAAAATTGAAAATTGAATAATTCAATTGAACTTTACCGGACAGAAAAGTGTTAATTTTCGCACTCTTTTTGCATAATTTTTATTTATTGATAGAAATATATCATATTAACAAATCGAATTTCCAAAAGTCGTCATGTTCATCAATACCCAAAACTACAATTATATCTTCATATTTTCTCAGATTACTTTTGCTACATAGAAATACACAAAATTTTTTAATTACACATCAAATCATGAACAAAAAATCTCATTTTACGTCATAAAAGATAAATTAATAAATTAATTTAATAAAATATCAGCTAAATTACGGCGCAATAGTAGAATAGTGAATCGATCACCAAGTTTTACACATAAAGAATGATCAATATTCTCCTCTCCAGGCCTCCATTTGGAGAAGATATTTTATTGCTGCGAGATATTTTATCGTTCAAGATGTCGCGACAAATTATATATGTGTCAGAGGGTTAAAAGCAAAATACCAACGTGATATCGGAACTGAAAAGGGATGTCCCCTTCTGGGAAATTCTGCGTCGCCGGCGGCAAATCGATTGTCTGTCGCGACGCGTGCTTATAAAAAGGGCGCCGAGCGTGTGCCGGCGTCCTTCCAGCGAGATCGAAGCGCGGAAGTTCGACTTGCGCGAGTAATGTGTAGGGAGCTAAGTCTATTTAATTTAACTACATACTCGTGTAGTATACGTGTAAGTTAAGCGTGTGAGTATTTTAATAAAGATACGAAAACGCAAGAAAACAAAAGCATTTTTTTGTTCCTTCCTCATTTTCCTAAGCAATCCAAGTGCAAGATATTTTAGCCCTTTTACTTACTTAATCTTCATCCAAAAAAGAGAGATATAAATTTTTTATAAATTCCTTTAGCAACTGATATATTGAAAATTTTTTTTTTTGTAAAATTTACAAGTGAATTAATTTTAAGATTTAGATATAGATTTTACGTTGCCGTTCTAGTAACTTTTTCTTATTCTTAAAACGAATTTCTTCTCGCGCCTTAGCTAAAACCTATCCTTATATCGCCATCGATCGGCAAAGTTCAATCTCCCTCGTATAGATGGTGCTACGTCACGGAGGGGGTAGTAGTATTCCGGTACCGGAAATACGATGGGGGATGCTTGTAGGGATCTCACCCCTCGTCGTGATCGTGCAAGCGGACGGCTAGGTGGCACGATAGGCGGTGAAGGGTGAGGAGTGACGAGGCCATGAAGAGGGGTGGGTGCAACGAAACCGTGGGTATGAGGGTGAGGCAAAGAGGGAGAGGGCGGACGAGAACGACGTAGTGAGAGAAGTCACAGTCCAGTTGAAGCGCAAGGGTCCTCCGGCTAAGGACTACGGTCCCTGGCAGTCCGGGACATTATGCCAGGCGGCGAGGGGTCCCCGATCAATCTCCTCGACCACCATCATCGCGCGTCGACTGCCGCCACCACGTCCACGACGAACGAGTGCGCGAACGGCGACGATGTTAGGACCGCGTCATCGGCGACTAGCACCGGCACGACCTTCACCAGCGCGATGACGAGCGCCCTAGCGGGCGACGGTCTCCGTCGCAGAAAGGTCATACACGCGGCCCGAGAGACCCTTGATAAGGGTGAGTCAAGCGTCACTTCTTCGTCCCTTCGCGATATCATCGCGTTTCTCATATCATCATCACTTACAAAACCTCGCGTAATCATTCATTGCTGCGGATACCTAGCCCCGAATTTCTTTTGACTTTCTGGTGCATGGATATCAGGATCGATCTTCCTTCCCCATAATGCAGCCTGATAAGTGGAACATTCTTTGATCCGTTCCTGGCCTCGTTTAATGAAGTAACCGTAGAAAAGTAAATCAATGTATTAATATCCAAGCGGAACAACAAATCACGGTAAAATCAAAATAAATCGTAAATTGAAAAGTGACTTTTAGTGATCGTTTTGGAGTTATTTTGATGTCACGATGATTCGTGTTCTACTTGAATACCGATTTACATGATACCATGTCTCTCGATCGCGTATGCGTGTCGCATTCAATATTGCAATCAGGTTAAGAGATAGATATCATAGGCAAATTTAAATCGTACAGATCGAATCTCACTTGCTGCAGTGAATTTATTATTAATCTCTATAAAAGTACCCAGACATTTCAGAATACGAACATTTTTATGTGTAGATATATTAATATTTATTGTACGTATTCTAATTTAATTCATACATTGACGTAGTATTAATTATTAACGTTAATTATTAAGCAACACGTTAATTATTAACGTGTATTAATTATTAACGTTAATTATTAAACATACATTCATGCGATTACTTTCACATCTTTGCGTTTTAATGGTTTCATGGATATATTTGGTATGCTAGATTCATTCTATTGATGTATCTACGAACATGACGAGACTCATAAATAATACATAAATTTTTGGGGGAGATAAATTCATGCGGTTTTCCACGGTACAACAAAATGACATTGCGTTCGATTTACAAATGATAAATATCTTTAAAAAAAAACATGTTTTATGTTATGTTGATTCCTTTTGATGACCTCAATGTTTCTAAACCGCCATGTTGCAGTTACACTTTCGAAATGGTTGCTGTTATGGCATTTATGCGGGTTGATATAAATATATAGCAGATACATCGAGATCCTTTCGCGTGATAAAACACGAAATAGAAATTATTTCATGTTTAATCGATAGCATCTTCTTCCCAATACATAACATGTCACGAAATTTGAATTTCCTGTTATGCATTACACGTGTATAACGGTACATCAATGTCAAATATAAAATTGTTATACTTTTTTTCGTTCCTCCCAAAATTATAACAAAAATAAGACAAATTATGTCATAAATTTATAAAATGAACACTTGCGTATTTGATAATAAGTTTCATACAGTAATATATATTATTAATAAAATATATTATTAATAAATCATTAAATAGGAGAGAGGAAATAATGAATTAATTATTATTAATAATAATAGATAATAATAAGAGAAATAATTATTACTTCCTTCTTCGCTATGTAATAAATAATAACAGAAATAAATTTAAAATATTTTAATCAAGAACAAATTAAAAAATATTTTCTTAAAATGGTGGAAGACTTCGTAATATAAGATTCTTAAGTATTTCATAAGCAATTGACTTATCTAATATGGAAGGTCAGTCTTTGTATAAAAATAACTGCAATCCACGAAATATTGCACTTCTGTGGCCAAATCTCACTTCTATGCCTTGCTCGTTTTAACATTCGACATACTTTATGCGCTCACCGGAGTTACGTAAGAATCCTTCGCACGTGGGCTGAATGCAGTATGTGTTATATGTATGTGTGTTTAATAAAAATAGTTCACTAGATAATATCTACAAAACAATTGGTACATACAATTCAATTATAATATAATATTAATACAATCTGAAACTTTAAATTAAATAAATTTGATTAAAAAAATTACTAATGTTTAAAATTAATTACCATTAAATTTTTAGTTTACATAGAAATAAATTCGGAAATTGCGTGCTAAGCAAAAAGAAATTGTGATGTCAAATTAGATAAACATAAAAATATACCCATTCTTCAACTTACATAACGAATTATTTTTGTATGTAATACTCTCTAAATCTGAATCAGGATAATCACTGATATATCAGTGCCAAGTATACTAATCAGTGAATTAAATGTGAGATTCCTAATCCAGCTAATCGTTATTATGTGATCTAATAACCTTGTTTTAGTGCTTAAATTCAATGATTATAGTATTGAAAAATCAAAATTAACATGCAAATATCAGTATTTTAGTTGCATAACGTTCTTCTTTTTTTGAACTTCACTGCCTGATTATCAGTGCCAAGTATGTCACTAGATAATTAGTGACTATCCACTGATTCAGATTTAGGGGATAAAGATGTCTCGAATATTTATTTACAAACACTCACGAATATCTTTAAACAAATTTAATTATATTACAGAAATTAAATTGGATTAAAATACTCTCTGTCTTCAGAAATATTTAAATTGGCATTGAAAACATTTACAATATCATATCTTACGATAAATCTCAAAGTTACGTAATATACAATTTTATAGATAGAATGAAGATCATTAATTTAGCTACTTTAACAACCGCGAAATTTTCGGCTTTATCAAAATCTCAAGAACGTTTTATTAACAAATTTGATTAGTACAAAATTCACATGAGATTAGCTCGGCACCGACTCGAAAACAACGTTAACCCGAATTCATTTGGCACGTGGCGCGAAATTTGCCTAATATAAAAGGATAAATTACATTCTGCTGTTTTATATACATATTTTTTAATTTTTTTCAATATTATTTAATTTAAATATATCAATCGTAAACTTAAATTGGCGCGGTTTAATTAATTCCAATTCAAAAGAAAATTTTAGATGGGATAAATTTCTATACTGCGTTCTTTGAGTTCTAATTTCGGATATATTAAAAGGAGATAACTCCGGCAATGACAAAGTTAAAAAAGTTTGAAGAATCGCCGGAGTTCTTAGAAAGTCCAATTCTCAAAAGACATAAAAAAAGAAGAACGGAGCATTTGTTAATGCTGATCTCAATCTGCTGCTTGAATACGGCTACTCGACCTGTTTTTGTGTCACATCACAATTGCGTATTGAACCGAATGATGTGATACTGTGCATTACTTGCATTGTGTATTATTCACTGATTGCCGATTTGAAACAACGTATGTGGGTTTAAAATGAAACGGTGTCATGATTTCAATGCAAATTTCAGTAAATATAGTTTTCGTTTTATATCCATAATTACAAAGAATTTGGATGGATAAAAATCTCATTATTGGAGATGCGCTACTTTTTTGTTTACCTATAAATGATTATCTAACGAATTCTTTCATATTAATTTTTTTCAAATTTAATTGAGATCTGTATTATATAATATAAGATCCTATTTTTTAATTTTTCTTAATCTTATACATTTTTTTTCGATGTTATAAATTTCTTCTTGCTATTCTGAAAAACTTTATGAAAGAGGAAATTTCTGATAGACAACTAAGTTAAATCATCCCTATCCGTAAAAGAAGTAAAGAAGAAGTTTATATAGAGTATATTCCGTTGAAGTATATGATAACTACACCGTTAAGAATATTACAAAAAGAATTTATAGTTTGTATAATACATTTTGAATAAGAAAATTATAATATATACCGTAATGTAATCGACTTTTATTTGGCTTCATTAGTCACATAATATAATACGATCATAAAATGCTTTAATGCAAAATGATATTAATATGGTTTAATAGAAAGATCTTTTGCGTTTTTTCTTGGAAAAACTTTAATTAAAGCATCATTACTTTAATAAAATCACGTTATATAATTATTGCATTAATATTTTATTATAAAAAATTTTATGACATTTTAAATTGACTTTATTTTGCATTCTAATTTCTTTATCTCAAATCTTTATATAATATTAACTATTTTTGCTTTAATAAAAACTTGATTTTATTTTTTAAAGAAGAAAAGAGCATACAAAACAAGCCAAATGCAGATAGAATAATAAATTGAATACAAAATTAAAAGTGCTAATATGAAGAACATATAATTCTACTTAGATTATTTTTAATTTTTCTAAAAAAAGATTTTAACTTTTAAATTTAAAATATGTGTATAAAAATTAAGTGTATAAAATTTTTAACATGAAGATTTATGGATATTCAAGGCGACTTTAATACGGTAACTAGGTTAACAATCTAATATGATAGAGTGAAAAGAAGAGAAAGATATCTAAAGATAATTCTATTCTACTCATACATTTTAACATAATTCTATTGCAACTATTTGCGAAGGTTTTTTCTCAAGGAAGCGCAACATGAAAAAGCTTTTATAGTTTTATAGATGCACTGGGACGCCTTCAAGTTTTTCACTGTTCGATGTCATCGGACTGCAAGTGTAAACAAAGTGCATTGATCTCATTCTGGGTATACCAAGTCGATGAAGCATGACTACTCGAGTAAAAAAGTATTTGTGTGGCACACAAATGGTTATTTGTAGGGGTGCTTCGTCGACTTTAAGAATAGAAGACTTGCCTGTGATATACTTGCAAAATATATAAAATTTATAATTAAAATTTCTTATTAAAGATTTTAATAAGAAAAAAGGTAATTAAAAATGTTATTTGGATTAAAAAAACGCAAACAAAATTGATTTCAATCAACGCTAGGAATAGTTTCCTGTTAATTTTTCTCGGAAGGATTATGCTGTGCGCAAATATACATCGCGTAAATTGAAGACAAACAATCTTCCGATGATTTCGTGCAATTATACGTGAAATGTATGACGGCACAAATTGAGAAAAAATGTGAGACATACTGCTAGATACTGCGATGAGACGATTGTTTTATAAGCGAGAATTAAAAGAGAATTTCTCTCTAATGTGATAAAAAACAGTAATTTTGAAATATTTTGTATTAGTAACTAAATTTAAAATTAAAATTCTATTAACTACTTGAAAATATAATATTATATTTACGTTTTCTAATTTTGTAAAAGAAGGAATTTAAATTTCATCAAATTAAAAATAAAAACTAAAATAGATTAATATATTTTTTGCTAAAGAGGGATGAATGTTCTAGTTCTAAACAAGAAATCAATAAATAGTATATATAGTATAAGTATAAAAAGTGTGAGAAAGAGATTTTATCAAATATAAAAAGAGTTTATATAGTGTAGTACATATTGTAAAATATATGTGTATATGAAATCTAAATTTTTTAATTTACATATGTCTCACATAATTGCCGAGTAAAATAATATTTTCTTTAAATATGATGTCTGTGCATCAAAACAATGTTAAACAATGTCCTTAACGGAAAAGCGCGATTTCTCGTTTGAAGTAGTCATGTCCATAATTTCGGCGTTGTGCGTTTTGTGCAGTACCATCCGTAGGCGAGATGTAGATAGCGTGCACCCCGTGCGAAAGTATAGATATATACATCTGTACGTACGCTGTGACGTAAGAGGGATTCTCTCTCCGTTTTCATCCCCTACTGAAATGAGATGCAGTAGTATAGGTATAGCATTTCAGCAACGGTTCATCCGAAGGGATTCGGAATGGGGACCTTCCGAGGCAGCTTAACCACGGCGTGTATTCTATAGATCTCAGAGGTGCAAATTTCTGACCTTATGGCTCGCTAGTTATTAATTATTTAAATAGTTTCCGCGCGAACGCGTGCAGTTGAGGCGCATCGGAGCATTAATAATTAAGAGAGTAATAAAACTGACAGAATGTATTAATTTATTTTTTCTTGTATGAAATATTTTACTTGTTAAAAAATATACATATATACATATATAATTTATTTGTGAAAAATAAAAATGTGAATAATTTCTTCTTTCGTATTACATAATATTTCGTATTACATAACGTATTTCGAGAATATCTCTCTCTCTCTCTCTCTCTCTCTCTCTCTCTCTCTCTCAAGATATTTTGAATAGACTGAATAGTTTTGAGGTTTATAAGGAATGAGAAAAACCAATATTTGCATTTGAATTATCTCGTCATAGAAGTGTAAGAAGAATCAATATTTGCGCTTAAATTATTATGTCATATGCTAAATTTTCTTTTTTTGATCTATCTAACTTTAATACATTGTTTTTTTAATTGCATACAAGAATGTAAATACAAAAAATAAAGAAATAAAAATGGATCTATAAAGAGATCTCTTATATGAAATACTATAATCTAATTGCTTTGATAATATCGCACGTGGAATATTACACGTGGAAATCGTGAAAATCATAATTCAAATTATATTCCTGCTCTGTGAGATAACAGGGTACAAAATACTGAATAACTCAGGTATGCGCTTGCATTAGCAATCCTTCTGGCTTGACTACTGTTGGAACTTCGCCATCATTTACACTACATTGTCCCTACATTATTGGAGAAGTTCCAAAAATAATAACTTTGTAAAAACAATTTAAAATTTATATTTACTATTACAATATTGCTCACAATATGTTATAAAATCGCAATTTTGAAAAAGAATCCTCGTATATATACAAGAAATGTAATAAAAATAATTAGAAAGTAAAATATATATATATATTATATATATATACTATTTTATACATTTTATGCAAAACTCTGTATATTATTTATTTCATTTTAAAATACTTTATTTAATAATTCTTTGAAATTGTAGACAATTAATTATTTCTTCACATCGTACGGTTATAGTATAACTTAATTGATCATATTAGTTGAACAATAATAAAAATTTCTTATTATTTAGATAAAAAATAAGACAAATGGAAACTGAGCAATTAAATATCTAATGTTAAAATAAAATTTTGTAAAAGAGATCTTTATCTTTTCCTATAAAAACCTAGTTCTTGCATACTCAAAATTTACTGACGTTTAACGACAGTACATCCCGATGAGAGCTTTAAAGTTTTGCGGTTGACATAGATGGATGTTCTTCTTCACGCCTACACTAGATACCTTCGACTCCGCTCAAAGTAATCGCACATACTTTATCTTGTCGAGGAATTTTTAGTCATTACACGTTTTCGTGTATGCGAGATTAATGGCGCATCCTTTGCACGGCGTATAATTTACTGCTTGGTTTTCGTTACACGTGTCCGGAGAAACCGATTCTTACCACATCAATTGACTTTAACCGTAGTTTAATTGTTTCTCTGTCGCTTTCTACAAACAAGAGAGACAATCAAACTACGACTGAAATTAATTGATGTCAGTTATTCTTTACAAAGTACACAAAATCGGAATATATGCGTCATAACGAATACTACCGTTAAATTATCGAAATAATAGACTGAATATATACCTAAAACTATATTTTTTCTTCTATATATTATATAAATTGTATTTGTCTATGTAAAAAATAGCTATAAATTATAACTTTTTATTTTTCCAAAGCAACATATATAGTTTATTAAAATATATAACAAAGAAAAAAGTACTAATGATGAAAGTCTAAATTTATATTTGTAGTACTCGAGAACTTTACATGAAGAAAAAGAAATCGATGCCCTCTTTTCCATTAGAAATATATGCGCGATCGCGATTCTTATAACAATTTGTAAAATTTTCAATATAAAAACATACAGATGATCTATATAAGGAATCGTTGTTAAATGTTGCAATATGCATAAATTTATTTTCTCGAGTAAAGTCGAGGTTTTATCTCAATAATTTGAAAATCGATTTAAAAAAAGAATAAACACCCACATGAAGCTAAGGCGACACATGCCGATTAAAAAAAGAATTGATAAACGAAGTTACACACGTGTCATGTCAATAAATAATCGAGAATAAAATTAAATTTTGCAAAAACTAACGTATACCAAGACTTGAAACTTTCATTCTTAAGTCTTAATTTTTAATTTAAGCTTGATATGAATTGACGATATGTCTGACATAAATTTAATGATCTCATTGGTTATGAATATGTCTTTGTTTATAGCATCCCGTCTTTTAAGACGAAAAATACCATGTACAGGCCATTTAATGACCCCCCGCCGCCTATGGATACAAAAGGTTCCTACTCAGGTATGTGTACTTAAAATATTTCTAAATTAAGTAGAAAGTCGAAAGTTATTTTTATGAATATAAAAGATAAGGAAGGATAAAACTGTTAAATATTCGCTCAACGTCGTGGATAATTCGATTTCGCGAATGGAAGTCTCAACTGAAAATTCGTATCTTTCAGTCGACATCACACCAGCAATGTAAAACTTCATAACTTGTTGGTTGAAAGTAATGCTTAGATTAAATAACTTAATAAAGGTGTTCTTGTGAATATTATGGAACTTGGCTTGAAATATTATTTGACATCAAATTTAGTGAAATATTAGTTAGCAAACATTTTGCTGCACATAATACTTTAATTTCGATTATTTCAGAAATTTACAAATTCCGTTCAATTAAACTCGAAATTTATATCATGTCAATGTCACAGTAATTTTGATGTAACAAGAATGTTTATACAGATCAATTATTTCAAACGTTAAAAGAACAAGATGTACGCTACGTTTCATCGATCATTCTATATAAGTTTAATACATGAATACTTTATACTGAAAGACAATGTTAGTTCTGGTAATGCAATATCGTTTGTATAATATCCTTTTAATACTTGACTGCTGTGGTCACAGCAATAACATTAGTGTCTGTGTGATGCCATTAGCGATAGGTACTCAAGTATGTCTATTTCTTCCTCGTGTACGTGACTATCTTCATCAATCATTCTATACAGTGTGGTAGGACAATATCTGTGACAATCTAATCTGATAAAAGAAACACATTGGCATATATAACTAATAAAAATACTAAGCCTGAATTTTATTCTTCAATTCATTTCCTTTGAATTGGACTATCGAATTAAACACTTTGTAATAATATCGATCATACCAAGCTATTAGTGGATACCGAATAACTTTACGTGTATTACGATGTTTACTCTTTCAAGCTATAACATTGTTGATTCTGTACCATTTTGTTTGTTCTTCTACTAGTCCGTCTTGAATTGCGGATTCGATTTTTATCGTGTTAGCACGATGTGAAGTGAATTTATCTTGAATATGTTAGTTTATGAAATATTGTTCACTTATAATGATTTTAACCATCTAGTAAACGAGAATGAATTAAAATAAATTGAAATTTTATTTATCCAAATTCGTATTTTAAATAGCGAAAACTTTTTTTCGGATTCAATTGGATTCAATCGAAATTCAATTGGATTCAATTAGATTCAATTGAATGTAATTGAATTGAAAAACTGCATTTTCTCAGAATTTTGAATTGAGCAATTTATAGAAAAAAAAAGAGAAAGAAAGAAAGGAAATTATTGGTACAGTATTATTAAAATGTATTGTAATAAAGAGTAAATCCAGAATAATGATATAAGTATTTTCTTGTGTAATGCAGGATTAATACAATACATACATGTATGTATATTTAATTATTTTTTCCCTAAATATAATGTCGATTTTATTTTACTCGCAATGGTTTCTACATCTTAACGCTCGAAAATCAGGATAAGTTGGCTGAAATCCAACTGTATAACGTTTTATATTGCCAATTCGCGCACAACGATACTACTCCGATAATACTGCTGACCTAGTAATGCACGTAACTACTTGATCACAGCACTAAACTTATGAGTGTTTTTTTTTCGGTCGTGTTGGAAATCACCAATATTTCACGAAACAACATGTAAGACCATTGAACTATTCCTCGGGGAGCGTATTGAATAGATTTATGGTAGTTGAATAAACTTGATATGCTCTTTCAAAACTGTTTCTTTGCAATCTTTAACAATTACCAATATAGATGTAGAATAAAAACTTTTCAAATTTGTACGAATTATTTTTATAAAAAAAAAATGTCATAAATTGTTAAAATTGTTTTTAATTTAATATTATACAATATTCGTATTAAAAATATATATCTATATCGATACATATCTATATATATATAGAGCTGTCTATACATAGATAGATAAAGAGATTATACAAAAAAGTAGACGTTGTAAATTCAATCACATTTTTTGTCACGTAACTACACAAAAAGCTCAATAATGGACTTTTTTAGGAATGCGACGTAGTCATGATGTTCCCTAATGGGGCAAACGACGAGACCTTGATGTGGCTTTTAGGTCGGCTCCGGGCTGGAACCCCGGGGCTAGTAGTTCACGTGCGACATCACGCCTCGTCGGACAGTTACGGGTTTTACATTACGGCACCATTTAACGTGTAAATATTCAATTCTCGATAGAGTAAAAGATATACTTTGAAAAATCAAGTGTGCAATGCACGATTAAGAACAGCCACATAGACATAACTTTATCGGCTCACAGTCTGCTCAAGGCCGCCGAGGAAGTGCATCTTCCAAAGTCCCTTAGGCAGGAATTCGGTGGAGGATTCAAGGAGTTCGTCGGCTCCGAGGCCAACTGCTTCGAGGGCAGCGACGACGAGGTCCGATTTTTCACTACCCAGGAAAGGCAGTCCCTAGTACTGCACTTACTAAATACTTTGAGGGCCGGTCCTCAAGATCTCCATAGTCTAGCCGGTCTTAAGATGGTGGAGGGTCAAGCAATTATCCCAAAGTGCATTTCATCCGGTATTATTTCTCAGGTGTGATATATGTATAATATATTTGCCATATAGGTTCACATCTTCTTCGATGAAATAAGATTCCTTGAATCATCAAACCTCGTCTCATTAAAGGGAAGATTCTGTGACACGATATGTGCTTTCATTAGGTCTTCCCTCTTCACGAATTACCCGCGTTAGAGAAACTGCAACGGAGCTGGGTCCGCGCGTTCCTCAGCCCCCAACCATTGGACGATATTTGTAAATATTTCGGGGTGAAAATCACCATGTACTTTGCCTGGCTCGGCCACTACACCACCGCTTTGATCGTTCCAGCTGCAGTAGGTGTCATATATTGGGTATGCATACATATATCTCATGTATTGTTATAATTTAAGTAACAAATAAAACAAGTATGTAATCCTGTTTATTCAATAAACAAAATAAAATAAAACGTAATGGCAACTTTAGATTTAAAATAAACTAATTTCCAGACAACGGAATGATGTGAAATTCAAGCAAAATACAAGTAAAAACAAGTAAATTAAAATAAAAATAGTTTTGTAGCTTCAAGAAAATAAATCAAATATAAATAAATTGTCTATGTAAGCTCCCGCAGTTATTAATGCCTAAATAATACATTTAATCATTTAATAGATTTATAAGACGATAAGATATAATTCGCGAACAATTGGAATGTATTTACCAACGAAGTTAACTACAAACGTTTCAACTTTGGATTTGAGTACAATTGCATAGCAGTTTATATTTGATATATTTTTGCATTAAAAAGGATTCAAATCCAGAATAAAAAAGTTTAATTTCTTTGGAAATACATTCTTGCAAATTATATCTTATCGCCTTATGAATATATTATTTACGTACTAATAACAGTGAAAGTTTATAGAGGCAATTTACTTATATAAAAAATAAATAACAATCAGATCTCGTCTGTTTAGGTCGGCATCATCGGCAGGAATCAAGCGGTGGAAGACGTGGCGTACGTTTTGTTTTCGGTGTTCAACGTGATATGGGCTACCGTATACCTGGAGACATGGAAAAGAAGGGGCGCGGAATTGGCGTACAGGTGGGGCACTTTGGATCAGAGGGACGATTTATTGGTCGAGCCTAGACCTCTGTTTACAGTAAGAACCTTTCGAACATTTTTAAGCCTTAGCACTCCGATGTCGACATGGATGCCGTAGTGTGCTACTCCAGCGTCTACACCTGCACAGCGCTATGAGACTAGAACATGCTTTTGCTACGCCGTACAATTGAAAATATAGGCAATACTGCGAGGAATTTTTGACAAATAAAAGTCCATTTGTAAAACCTGTTCGAAATTTGATCAGTTCAATTAATTCAGTCGTAACTGTGTTTAGGGAACTCTAGAGGTTTCATCAGTGACGGGTAGGCTGGAACCGACGTATCCCAGGTGGCGAAGAAATATGTTTCGATATTTCGTGAGCGTGCCTATCATTGCAATTTGTTTACTCTTCGTCTTCATCGTTATGATTCTGAGTTTTCAGATACAGGTACGTATAGGTGCATTAGTTATTAATAATTAATCGTAAAAAGATTTTGATTAATTATCGAGGGGAATGATTATATTAAAATTTTTAAAAGACTTATTACATAATAAGATACAGATTTTTATAATTTGAAAACAGAAAAGCGACAAATGTACTTATTTAAATTGTTATTTAAATTGTAAAATTTATAAATCCAAATATGTACTTTTCTGTCATTGGGCTTAAATTATATATGTATTATACATATATATTCAATTTGTTTGTATTTAAAAAAAGAAAGCTGAAGATTGATATAAAATTTATGCTATAAACTTTTCGACTTGTTTGATTTACAGGATTGGTGGGACGCACATCTCGAATCAGGAGGCTATGGATTCTGGCTAAGTTACGTGCCAAAGGTGTTGCTCGCAATAGTGATTGCATTAATGGATGAAGCGTACTTCAAAGTCGCGGTGTGGTTAAACGATTTGGGTATGTGTCCCAATGATAATCGAGCCCCTATACTTTACACTATTTTCCTCCATCTTTCTTTTCCTCCCTCCTTCTCTCTTTCTCTCTCTCTCTCTCTCTCTCTTTCTCTCTCTCTTTTGACATAATCGTATCTCCGTGCGACTCAAAATACGAACAATTGCCATTTGCCGACTTTTTCGCATCGATATATGTATTCTACGGTACACTATGCACGTCTAGTTTAAAAGCATAGCATATACTTTCGATAATTTTTCCACAGCTTAGCTTCTTCTAGAGAATAATTAAAAGATTATGTAACGAAAACATCATACATTTACATGAAATATTGTTGTTTTGTTTTTTTTTATGTGATTAAACCCGTGACATATTATAGATACAGTTTCGTTATCATTTAAATTCTGGAGAGCGTTCATGGTAGATAGTATTTGTGATTTTTGTGTGTTGGACGCAGAAAACTATCGACTAGACACCGAGTACGAGAATCATCTGATCTACAAAGTGGCACTGGTAATAAGAAGAACTCTCCATTTTCAACGAATAGAATATCAATGTTGTGTTAAACGTACACATGTCCTCCTCTAATTAAATACGATAAATAATATTAAATAAATACAAAAGATTTATCATTTTTTCTCTTGTCATCACAAATATATTTTTTCGACAGCATGAAATAAAATCGATTGAACGTTAATAATTAGCTATCTATGATAGATAACATTATGTAATTATAGGTATTATAATTTGTATATCTCTCGATGACCTATTATTTTAATTGTTTTACAATTAATTGTTTGATCAAGAATTAATTTTGCATTGATTCTTGAAATCAAATGTAAATATATATATATTATATTCAAAGGAGTTTAATAGTGCTTCAATGAACTATGGCATAATTACTACAATCACTTTTTTATTCATTGTATCACAATTCATTGAATACATTATATAACATTATTGCTGTGTAAATGATCAAACAGAAAGACTTTCATAGAAAAAACTTACATACATATAATTTTTAATCTCAATTTATTCTTTTATAACTATTTTTACATGATATATTTAAATTCAGAATATGACACATTAAATTCTGTATAAAATATAAACGCAATGCAGTGAAGATAAAAATTAGATTTCTGAAATACTTGTTCACTTATAAAATTTTTTATGGCTAAAAATAAAAATAATTTCACTGCTCAGATTAATCTAATTTGATACATTAATCTGCGATTGCGGCAAATAAACATACAAATAAATTAAATAAAAATTAACTCGATATCTGAAAAAAGTTATCGTACATTAGAGATGGACATTTTGAAAAATACAGTGTAGACTTTAAGCTTTTTGTTTTAAAGCAGAAGTGCCTGCTCTGGCTGTCTCTGTCGCTGCATGAACATTCTTTTTGCAAAAGAACACTTCACCCCAAACCTTTTTATCCGCTCTTTTATGTGCATTTTGTACATACAATGTATGTGTTAATGCCCCTGCGATTTCCAGATAATCTGCAACGACTATCCTATATTTCAGTTTCAGTTTGTGAACTCCTTCCTATCGCTGTTTTACATCGCCTTCTATCTTCAAGATCAAGAGAGACTCAAAGAGGTGAGGATTCAACTTTCCTGTAATACGTATAACCATATAAGAACATAAATTTCCGTTTTAGCAATTGGCGGCTCTACTCATAGCTCGTCAAGTGATCGGCAATCTGAAGGAATCCGCGGTACCATACCTCATCGAACAACTACGACTGGCACGGCTGAGCTTCGAACTGTTCGGAGCCTTGAGTCCCAGCGAGGCACGGCCACCTCCCGGTCAAGAGGGTGAAGAGGTACAGGGTGGTAAAGACACCGAGGAGAAGGACGAACGACCTGACAGCGGCAAAACGAAGCAACCGCGAAACGTCAGCCAGGCAGAATTGGAGAGTTCCCTCTACAGAGTAGGGCATCCCACTAATTCTCTACTTAGTGACGTTACGTTCAAGGTTTGGTCTAGATTTAGCCAATAGATCTTTCGTTTTTCTGGGAACACTACACCGCACACGCATATCGACCTTCGAACCACTCACAATCGAAAACATAATGTATATAGATATATAAAAATAAGGAAGACTTATCAAGCATCTCTCTATCAAGGTTATGCTTAATAGATGTTTCAGCCGCCCCGTCAAGGTCTCCTTGAGTTTCGAGAGTGTTATATAAAACTGCGAGTGAATCGAACGCGTCGTATCGTAAATCGACCCATTTATCTCGCCTAAGACCTTTCTATCCGTTCTTTTCAGACTGCACTCTTCACATTCTACATTGCATGACGACTGAGCCAAACTATTAATAGCAATATCAATGTCACATTGCGTTTGTAGATCGTTTCTTTTTGCAGAATTTTAATGATTTTTATCCCGTTTCACACCTATTCCATCGACGACGCACAGGTATCAACCAGGAAGGTAATATCACATTCATCCTTTAAAGATCAATCCTTTCTGCTACAAACAATCTCGATTTTTCTTAAAAATGCAAAATATAGTATAAGTTTAATAATTGAATTATTTTTTAAATGCATGTAGCGATTATTAATCGATCAAAATATTACTTTTTTATATAAACTCCAATCTTACTAAATATTTATACATTAATAAAAAATAATAATAGTTTTATATTGTTCCGAATTACAAAAAAAAAGTTATAAAAAAGTCTATTCAGCTTCAAATATTTGCTAATACATCCTTCAATACTACATATTTTTTAAATGATGCAGAGTGACTGACAGGAACAGAGCTCTATGGTTTATCACGCAGAGCCCATCCTCGTGTTCTCAACTTGTATTTTACCAAAGTTTAATTTTCTTTAATGTATGCACGTGGATTCACACCCAAAATACGATAAGTCAAAGTGTTTTCATTATTCAAAGACAAAACTAAATATATACATATAAATGTATTTTGTTAGCATCATGTTAAACAAACATTTTTATTAAGTTGTTATATTTTAAATGAACTTTTGCATTATTTATTTTACTGCAAAATATTGACAATACATTAACAATATATTTAAACGACATATGCAACAGAACTAACAAATCTTATCTTATTATTATTACTTTAGCATTATATATGTAGATATTAATATGTAGATATAAATATGCAGAGTCTTTATACTTTCTTTATATACAATAAAAAATAACTATTTTTTCTATATGTAGCGGAGTAAAAGCTCTCACCAAGAAATATACTACATTTTATGTAATGTAATTTATAAAATTAATCTAAGAATATCTCTGAGTAAGTTTTGTAATTTATATACAAATAACTTGTAAAAAATATATATAATAATCAATAAAAATATGTTGCCTAAGCTTAATAAATAATGATTTTCAATTTGCAGTACGACGGGGCGTTTTCAGAGCATTTGGAAATGTTATCGCAACTGGGATACGTCTGTCTCTTTTCGTCCGCATTTCCATTAGCTGCAATGGCTGCTTTACTTGGGAATTTGCTCGAATTACGCGGCGACGCGTTCAAACTATGTTTCGTGCTTCAACGACCTTTCGGGCGTAGAGTCTCGAACATCGGTACATGGCAAGTAAGTGAAGAACGATTTTCGAAAGTTCATAATATACACAAATGTAAATTTGAGAATAAATTTAGCTATCAAAATAGTTAGAAAAGAATTTTAATAAATATTTTATTATTACATATTTGATTTTATCTTATCTAATTTAATTTGATTTTACCATATTTGATTTAATCTTATATTTATATTTAAGTTGTATCAGTTGCCTTTACAAGTGCTCAAAGTATTCATTTTAGGCTCTCTAGTGGAAGCTCTCATAATATCGTAAGTGACCTCTATTAAAAAGTCTTTATTGTGATTATCAAAACAAAAATAATTTATCGTCAATTTTTTAAATGAAATGCTTAAGAAAGATTATCAAGTATACAATTAAAAAAGAAAGAGATTTGTAGAATCTCTTTGATTTAGAATGATTGATATAGAATGATTCATACATTTTCATTGGTACACTCTTGTGTACTATATATGTTTGTACAGTTTATCAATGTTTTTTTTTCCAAAAAGTAAGACCTTTTTTCGACATAAAAAATATTAATGTTATTATATACATTTATTGATGCATAATATACATTCTTGTAAGTTATAAGGGTTATAAACGATATATGTAGATATATATAGAATAATCATAAATTGAAGTTAAAGTTAAATAGAATGAACTTTTCTTTATATCTTTGCATGTCAAATCCATCTACGAAGTTAGGAAACACATTGTAGACAAATATAGTTCAATCAATAATTAATTTTGGAACTTTGATAGAATGCCATGGAGGCAATGGGCTTGGTCGCTATTTTGGTAAACTGCGCTCTAATCGGATTGAGTGGGCAGGTGCAACGAATGTTTCCGGAGATGTCAGCAACGCAAACCATTTTACTAATCGTGGCATTGGAACACATCATGTTCGCTATTCGATTTGTGATTATTTGCGCGATTCCCGATATACCTCATTGGGTCGCCACCGAGATGGCTAAAGTGGAATTCTTAAGACGCGAGGCAGTTCGAAGGCTATCTTCGACTCCGTCACCGGAACAACAACCAACAACAGTGATAGGTACTTAATTCATCTTTATCCGATGCTCATCAGTGTACACTACCTACCTATCACCTAACACATCAAAGTTATTTTATACATAGAAAGATTTCGTTGAAGGATCTAAAAATATTTAATTAAATACAAATCTGAAAATAATTGTGTTGGGCCATCAAAATATTATAATTAGATAAGAAATTCAAACACGATGAACATGCTGCAAAAAGTTTTGATATTCTAATAACCAGTTTGTTCTACATAATTATTTTAATGATCTAACAACATTATTTTCAGATCAATAGCTTGGTAAATTTTTAAATATTTCAACAAAATTTTCCGTATATGACTTCTTTGTAAAAATTGAAATATCTTCATATCCCAATTTTATCTTTCCTGATCCAGTGGCTTTTACTGTCTGCTTTCTAAATTACTTGGAGTGGACTCTTACTCTAAAGGGTGATATTTCACTTTTCAAAATGAGAGATTCATTCTAAAAGTTTTAGAGAGTGTCTATCCGTGTCTATCCTGTTCGCGAATGATCTCCGCTCTAGCAGCACGAAAGTGTTAATCGCTTTGCCTGTCGCATTACATCCTTCTTCCTACCTTCTATTAATTTCGCTCGAACTCAGGGAGATTCGTGGTGAGTCCAGCAGACGGAGAAAGCGAAGAGCAGATACTTTCCGATCGCGCCGCTTATGCGTCCAGTCAGGCGAACACTCCGACCTTGGCTTCGACCACCCACACGCCAAGTGGCGCGACAACACCGAGTGCCGCGTCGGTGCCGAGGATCGCGGAAACACCACCTACGGCCGGAACCCCCGGCAGCGGTGGAAGCAGTAGCGAGACCAGTCCGTTCTTACCCGAGAGCAATTCCAACGTCACCCGGGACATTCGTAACACGCCGAGATGTTCCATACCCGGAGGCGAACGAGGTTTGATTCATAAAATCGCGCATAAATTGCGATTTTATATAAGAAAAATTTATGTAACGCTTAAATCATATACAAGTATAATTAACACGTTGTCTGCTACGATCAGATTGATTAAATTTTTTTTTAATTCTTATAAAAGTTAATGCCGTAAAATTTTGACATAAGTAGAAAGTTATTGTGTAATTCAATAATTCAATATTTCTTTTTACTTTCTTTATGAGCCTACTTTCTTTTCAGAGCGTTGTTTATTATCAGATAAATAGTTAGATAACAATATAAAATAAAAAGTATGCCAACAAACAATTAATATTTTTCATGTTTAAATGTATTACGTAATATTTTATTATTATGCCTATAATAATGAAAATTCTGTAATGTATAAGATACAAATTTTTAAAACTAAACTACTCACTTCAGTTGTTGTTGGAAAGATGTGAAATTGTTATAGATAAAAGTTTGTAGGTAAGTTGTAGGTAAGACATAAAATTGCTAGGCAGACGACGTGTTAATCATGATCTTCTTACGTCATGCTATTAATGCCTATCGCAAAAGTTCTGCATGGTAAACCGTGCGAAAAACTTCATTAAGCATAAATGGTCGCATTGACGAAAAGTTTCTCAGTAGGAAGACGCTCGAGGGAGTGGTTAAGCAACGAACCGGAAGCGTCCGGTACCAACGATCAATACAGCCATCATCTGACCATTGGACCACACGGCGGCGTCGATTGGGTACGTCGGTTAGGTTTAGAGCCAGGGGGACGAAAATCGAGTGATTCCGAAATTAGTGGTTCCGCTGCAGTGAGCGGACGGGAGGAGGAATTAACTTTGCACAGGTCAACCGATTGCATCGTCTCCAAAGAACTCGCTTCTTCCTCAGACAGCGATCTTCTCAGGTACAAGGAATAAAATATATTTTATACAGCACAGATCATTTCAGCAATATTGCAGTAACATTGAGAACGTTACAGCAATGTTGTTGCAAATTTCTGCGCTGTATGGGTACATACTATGATTTTTCTCTGATTAAATACACTCCGATTACACGTATATTTTATTGATAGCTTTAAATATTTTTTTTATTCCTAACAATAAAAATATTTTTCTTATACATATCCTTCAATCGTTCAATGTTATTCCTCTTTTATTTTCTAAAACTTTTAAAGTAAATCGCATTCTGAAAAGTGAAATCTCACTCTTAAAGATTAAATTGAGTCACTCTTTTTCAAGACTGGCTCAATTTTCACTTTTTAGTATAAGATTCCACTCCAAAGAATTGAAAGAGTATATTTCGATGCTAATACATTAGTTTCTTATTTAAAGATCGGCACCGCCCTGGGTGGCGGCTCATAGAAACCAGAAGTTCCGCTTTTCACCCGAAAAGGAAAAGGAACGTGAGAAGGTGGAGAAGCAACAATACCATCAACAGCATCATCAGAGAGAAACTCGAGAAACTCGGGAAACCCGCGAAACCCGCGAAACCCGGGAAATCCGTGAAACTCGTGAAACGCACGATCATCGAGCGAGCGAGCGACAGTCTTATCTCGCCGAAAAGGAGAAAGACTCGAGCGGGCTGTCAGATTCCAGCAAGACTATCTCGAGTCAAGAAGAGGAGAAGCCGACGAAGGAGGAACGGGAGGCGAAGAAGACGCGCGTGAAGCAAAGCCTGATGAAACGGGCGCGCTCGGTGGCGATCTTCTCGCTAAAGCTGAAGGAACGTCGCGCACGGGAAGCCGAGCTTAAGGCCAAGGAAGCGGAAAGGGAGGCCAGGTGGCAACAGCCGCAATCGTGCGTCGGCGGCGAGCTCTCGTGCATCCCCATAGAAAAGCTTATCTCCGTGGACGACATCGCGGCCATGGAAATGCGTCGGCCGAATCATTAGCCGCTTGACGAGTCATCTTTCTCACACTTTTGTTTCCACGCTACGTAGAGAGCCGTTCGCGTACCGCGACACGCGGATCTCCGCAACCGATGCGACGCGCGACGATGAAGATCATGTTCTCCGCGTGTTGAATCGCGACGGAGAGAAAAAAAAAAAGATCCTGACGGCCGCGTGCAGGTACGCGTTACCGGACGAGAGAAAAAGGCGCACAATTTACGAAATCATCGCAGACACAAGGATCCCATAGACGACATTCCGTAGACACTATACCTGATACCGCTCTCTAGATCCAGGGCATCGAACCGCGATCTCCAGTTCGGTTCCGGAACGGAGTGCGGCACACTTTCCAAGATTCTACACGGAAAAGGGAATCTGCTAATAGCTATCGAATGTTGAGTAAAATAATTTCATTCAATATTTGATAACTGTTACAGGCTCTTTTTTTTTAGTGTATGCAAATAATGTTCCATGATAAGGACTGAAAATCCTTAAACACGTATTTGCGCAGTTTTGAACATCGTGGTTAACAGTATGAAGCTTTAAATACGACTATCTTTTTTGAAGAGAAGGAAAAAGAAAAATTTCGCTAATTTGTAGCGGAATGATTTCACGGGAGATCGCAGAGTATTAATTTTTGAACAAAAAACAAATTTTACCGATTCCAAAAAAAAATCGGTACGATAATTTTATTGAGATGGAGAACTTTACTATTAATTTTCTAATTTCTACTAATTTCTACTAATTTTAATAATTTCTCAAACTTCAATTTTGCAGAGATTTTAATTAGATAGATTATCCTCGGAACACGCATCGGATAGCTGAAATTAATCTACGACATTGCATAAAATCCTTATTATAAATTTTATTTCCGAAACCGCTTTAACGCGCAGTTCCGAAACCGAACGTATCCATTCCGATAATTTTAATTTCTTTTCGATTCGATGCTCTGCACATTCTCCTAGCCTATTATAGGTCGCTCGACGTCGTAGATCGTTGAGCTCCAAACGTTCCGTTCGTGCCGTCAGTATTCTATACCGAAAGAGAATTATCCTCGGCTGTGCTCCATAACGCGCGTGTAACGGAATCCTAATGACACAGTCGGACCCGACGATTCGGGTCGCGGAATAAAGAGAGATGTACCGAAAATCAACTGGAATATAATTACGAAGATCCCTCTCAGAGAAAAATGTATAATGTATCCGGTTACACTGTTGCTGAATAGCGAGCCGCTGAGTCGGCGCGAAACTCAACGAAAAATTTTGAAGAAGGAAACTTTGTTGTTGTTGCGGTAATAAATTGTTAATTAATCTATAAAATTTTAGGCATTAATGGATTAAACAAACTTTTTGCTAAATAGATCTCTACGAAGGCATATCACATTGTCGAGACCATCCGCGTTGTCGCCGTCGCCTCTCGAAGTTTCGTGTCTTCGTCCCTTAAAATCAGACATGATGTAATATGCAGGATGCAGGTTGAGTTCGCGGCTACGTGAAACTCACCGGCGATGAGATAATGAGTCAAAGACCATCAGAGTGCATGGTACACGCGAAGCTCTTCGTCCAGACACGAATTAAAGGATCTAGTGGTCGTTTTTGTATATAGCGAAAAATGTTACGCAGAGATTGTAAAATCGGTTTCCATGGCCTAGCCTCATGTCCCCGTCCGCGGCTGAACTTTAGCGCAGAGTTGTTGAGTATTACACACGAGTACATCTATACATACACACATACAAAGTACAGATACATGACATTTTATTACATTTACCAATTGTTAGCTTAGTATTTATTAATCATTAGATGCATCCACATTGAGCACTGTTGAGCAAACCGATAATCGCGTTGTACGTAGCGTACCCTTCGGGAATTTGCGAGACACAAGTGCATTAGATGCAAAATTGATAGATTAGCCGCTTTTCGTAAAGGCAGGTCGGAATAAATTCAGCCGGAAGCATCTGTGTTTGTTAGATGTTTTGTATAAAACAAGAGAATTGAGCCAATAAAATATTCTACAAAATACTAATCGCATTCTTCTTCTCTTTGTTCCAAAGATAAATGTATGTACTAATAGCACACAATGTATACTTCCCATGCAGCACAGAATTTGCAGCAATATCGCTGCAAAATCTCTGCAACATTGCTGCAACATGCGATATTGTTGTAACTTTTGTGCAAGATTTGTGCTGCATGTAAGAACTTTATCTGATAATTATATAATAGTAATTGCAAGAACATTATTTAAGCAATCTTATCTAAAGAAAAAATTATACAAGAATTAGTTCTGTTGAAATTAAAGAACTGACCTATAATTTCCATTTTCAATCCGTCCGGATGCATCCAGATGTTTTATTCTTGTTATTCACATGTTAAACAGGTGGTTTGTCTTTGTTCCCGCACTAGAACTCCCTTTCTTACTTTCGATAATGTCAAATACCTTTCTCACTTTAAGTTCCAAAAATGTACACTCAGCCACAGAAAACAAATGAACTGTGACGACAGAACTATGGATAAAACAACATCTGGACACTCAGATGATGATTCTAAACACAACCTAACTTTGCAACTGTTGTAAAATTCTTTAATATGATTGGTTTATATATTTATTTAGATCCAGTGAGGAACTAAGGACAAAATCAATCATGTTAAAGAATTTTATAACAGTGCAGAGCTACTTTATCTGCTGAACGCAGCCATTTGAACTGAGGGTTTTAGTAGGAACTGGCGCATGCGCCTACATAACCTGCGATGTAGCAGCAAGTTCGTGACGTGAGGTCGAAAATGTTTCGTTCTGTTACACGTGAGTTATTTTACCAAGAATTATATTAATTGCCATTAAATGACCGTCCCAATGCTCAATCCTGACATACTTTAGGCATAATGTACATTTAATCCCGCATCAAATAAAATTCCGCGTACATTTGGACCGGATGATCGATATCATTTTGCAGCAATCTTCAGTTTTTGCTCGCTTTTTGTTTTAATGTCGCGCTATTGCATAAGATTGCACTCTGATATACATCACAAAACTTGATGCGCATTAATTTATTTGCATAATTGTATAGTTTATTTCGAAATGTTCGACCGATTAAAATGCCAATCATAACCTTCTCAATGCATTTAAGATAATATTTACTAAAAATTTAATTATATTTAATTATTTGTATTGATTATTTTACGTTTTATTTATTTATTTCTTTTTTTTTATAGATAACGTCCCTCAGGGACTGGTGTCCCTGATACGTAATAATGTAGCAGCATTAGGACCTGCTACTACTGCTACATTGAAGGTTCAGACAAAAGGCATGGCTACGGAGACATCAGTGCAGGAAGCAAAGACTCAGCTGCCAGAGAAATCGAAAGTCGAGCCATACAGTCCTTTTCAAAAGCCCAGTAACATGGCAGAATATGCCTTGGCCAGAGCGGATGATTTACTAAATTGGGGACGTAAAGGATCACTATGGCCAATGACTTTTGGTTTAGCCTGCTGCGCTGTGGAGATGATGCACATCGCTGCACCTAGATACGATATGGACAGATTTGGCGTGGTATTCCGTGCTTCGCCACGACAGTCAGATGTTATTATAGTTGCTGGTACTTTGACGAATAAAATGGCACCTGCCTTGAGAAGAATCTATGATCAGATGCCTGAGCCCCGATGGGTTATCTCCATGGGAAGTTGCGCGAATGGAGGTGGATATTATCATTACAGCTACTCAGTGGTTAGGGGTTGCGACAGGATAATACCTGTGGACATTTACGTACCTGGTAAATTTGCAGTTATATTTGTATTCTTCTTATTTAGAAAAAAGTATATGTATAATACATATTTATATAATATAAACTTTCAATATTGCAGGTTGTCCCCCAACAGCTGAAGCACTATTATATGGTGTTCTTCAATTGCAGAAAAAGATTAAACGTATGCAAACCACACAAGTTTGGTACAGGAAGTAATGTACCTGACATTATAGTAAAAAATGTATAAATTATTAAAAAATTGTATGATAATTGATAATTAAGCAATAGAGGAGTTGTATATCATTTAAAAATGTGATTATCGAAATAAATCACATTTCAATAAAAATAAATTTTTTTTTATTACCATACATCAGTCTTGTTTACTTCGTATATACATTTATTTAAAAAAAAAAAGCTGAAACTAGTTTATTGGCATCATTATATTATCGCTGTAATGAATAATTAAATGCTTAAATAAATGTATTACAGTTGATCATATTTATATATATATATATATAATTGATTAAAAATATATTCTAAAATATTTATTTAATTATATGAAAGCTTGAAGATATATAAAAGATGTTTAATACTTTTATTTTTATTAAACATATACAATCGCGAATATATATACATGCACTTTATTGCATATAATTATGTCACAATGATAATGAAAACAAATCTCACTTTTTTAAAACTATATATTATAAAAAAGATATGTAAATATTTGTATATGTAATTAAACTTGGCAATATTGTGTGAAAAATTTTATTATTTTCATCTTGTAAATAATCGTCTTCTTCTGTCCCTTTTTTTTCTGTGTTACCAATTTATATATCTTAAATTTACCTTTCTGAAAGATAGATATAGACAGAATAATCGTAAAATCATGTTAGATCAATAATCTGTACAGTAATATCCATAAGATATCAATATATTATATTTATATATACATATATATACATAAAACACATACTAGAGTAAATGAAGCTTGTACTTTTATATTGAGAAAAGAATTAAATATTTGTATAAACCTGTGTTTTATTACATTCACTATTCTATTGTTTGCTTGTATTTTCTTACTTCTAAAAATATACAAAATGTAGAAAATATATTCAGAATAATTTAAACAAAATAAAGAATTTTACACACAAGTTTTTTGCTGTTTAAGTTACCACATTCTAAGGCCCCTTTCTTTGTTTATTTGTTACTGTAACTAATATAAATATATAACAATTATATTTTTATTATATACTCATACAATACATACATATATCATCTTAATAAAAATACATGTATATATATATATATACCGAAATCTTGTACATATAATAGGTAAAGAATTTGCCTCTTTTTAACAGCTTGCAAAGTTTCATACCTATCATTTTTTTGTTATATGTACTGCTTAATGAACATGTTATTATTCTGTTGCACCACAGCCAAATTATTTAATGTTTTCGATCATAAAAAAAAATTTTTAAAAACTAGTAAAATTATTTTGATAAATCATTGACTATACTGATAATGTATCAAACCAGATTGAAAGTTAATTATGTCGATTTTATTATTATTGATATATTTATAATCCAGTATATATATAAAATTTTTAATATCTAAATTTTGATATTTGTTCCCCATCTTTTTTACTTACACAGTTACATTTTGAAGATCAATTGTTTTTCCAAATAAGATTTTGTCTGTATATTTTAATTACGATATCACTGAAGAGATTGTAATGATATTGCAATTACAAATTTTAACTAAAATATCTTAATATACATAATTGTTGTTTGGTTTAAAAAAATATTTCTGAAGTCATTTAATCCACTTAAGAAAAGTAAAATCAACAAAATTTTCAAACAAAAATAATCTTTATTCTGTATTCCATCTATTTTCTTTTATTATATTATATTTATATGTGCAATATAAACCTTGTTTAAACGCATTGTGCGGCAGAACGATTCATACAATTCTAAAAAACGTATATGATATCTGTTCTGCTTTACGATGACAAGCATCTAGATTTTCTGTCATAAAAAAAAATGATTTAATGCAATAAACAAAATATCAATGGTCTAAATATATATAGTCAGTCCCTGCCGTGTATAATTTCGATGATTCAAACAATATTGCAAATTGCTATTAAGTTCTGCTTAATTAACTATTAACTAGTTATCATACTCTTATAGATTTCATGTATTAAAAAAGTTTGGATATCAAATATCCCTTAATCCTATTTTCCGCCTTGTTTACAATTAAATCGAATTTTCTGAAATGTTATTATAATTCTTTTAATATTTAAAATGAATGTGAGGCTAAATCCAATTTCATTTTACAACTCAATAGATAATTAGTACAAATATACATGGTTTCAGACAATGCTGAACAATTTAAGTAAAGTAGACACACCTAAATATCTTTTACACCATTAGAGAATTGCTTGCGATGTAGATGGTGGTGGATTAGTTATTGGCAATGCAGGAACCGGGCCATCTATCCAATGAATGAGCGAGTGCTCACTTACTTGAGAACTCTGAAAATGATCCTTCAAGAGGGTTTGAGAGAATGTACAATGCATTTGATACGCCTCGGCCTCATGAGTAGGGTCACCACAAATTCTATATAAATCTGTAATATTTCAGTTATATAGTTTAGAACTAATTAAAAAATTATTACTTACTTTTCAATATATCTGCAATATACCTTTTAAAATGGCAGTAGCCCACAGTTGTACATGTACATCAGGTATTTTCGAAGCTAATTGCATCGCAGGTGTGACCATATTCATTGATTCTCTACTATTTCCTAACGAAAGAAATATATGTCCCAAAAGCACAAGACTACAGGAAGTGAGTCTGTTCAAATCTTCCGAATTTGCCATTTTTAAGGTTTCTCTAAGATATCGTCTGAAAATCATATTTGCACAATAATATATCGATATATTCAAATTGTTTCTACACTGAGATTTTTTAACGTCACTAACTGAGAATCAGATTGTTTTTATTTTTCGAGAAATTAAACTTACAAATTTCATTCCCATTTATCAGAATATTTATTAGGACATGTGAAAAGAAATATTTTAAAAAATCTTACTTTGCTTCATTATATCTAGCACCGAAAAAAGCTTGGAGTCCTTGTACGTAATATGCAGCTGCCCTCAAAGAATGAGAATGCGATGGTAGAGATTCTGGATTTATCCTTTCTAATAATACCCCAAGCTCGGCTTCTTTCTTTGATCTGAGATATACTATCGCCAGGTTCAAATTTGCGAATGTCCAGAGTTCTCTCTCTTGTGACGTCTGAAAAAGATAAGATAAATCTTTATTTTCAATGTCTGCTATCGTTAGAAGTACCTCATACATCTAATTATATATTTGTATGTAAAATTCAGCCAAAAAGAAAATAAAAAATAAATATTTAAAAGAGTACGCAACTAATATACAATAGATTAAAGACGTAATAAAATGTATAAAAGATTCTTGAATTATTTATTATATTTATTTATTACAATTTATAATAACGATTTTATTTCCTTACTCTGAGTGCAGCAGTGAACTGAGCCTCTGCTGCTTCCAAACAATTCATAGACATTGCGTATAAACCTAGTAATACATGTAGTTGTGGTCTATGGCCTTGAAGTAACCTAGGCTGCCGTCTGCAGAGTTGGCAAGCTTGAGAAATTTCCGTAAGAGCTACGCTTTTGTTTCCCATTACAAGCCGGCACATGATTATATGTTCCAAGAGCATTAATTGAAACACGGACAAGATAGGTTTATTATCGATAACTGTAAAATAACAATAAAGATTTTGATTTTGCGAAATATTCAATAAAAAATCAATAAAAAATGTAAAAAAATAATGTATTATGCGGGATGATGACGGTATTATGACGGTATTAGTTCCGTCAAAGCGGTTTGATTCCGATCTTCATCCCGTTTATTCGAAATTGAAGAATTTGTAAATAAAGAAACAAGAGAATCGTAATTTTTATCGAAAACAATAAACTACTTTGAGTGCGAGCGTGGCATGATAGACAGCGCATTGCTCTACCATGCCAGAAGTCCCGGATTCGATTCCAATAGGAATCAAAATATTTACGCTCGTCTCTTCTCGGAAAAGGCCGGCAACCTCCCGAGAATATCTTTACCCACAGAAACATCTGTCGAAAAATCCGCCGTTCAGAGAGAACTGGCATTAAAACTGTAATTCTATATGCTTGTGAGAATTGAATAATTAGCGTGCGCACCACAAGCATATGAGAGAGGTATAACACAGGCCAGAAGCCTAACGTAAAAAGAAAAGAAGAATAAACTACTTTAATTAATTAAAAAAATAATACGCTTACTTACTTTTCAGTTTTTCAATTTGACTAAGCGCTTTGTCTGTGTATTTCTGTGCTTTATCCATGTATCCGGCTTGCATAGAATGCATAACGGTTACTAAATAGACCAAGACGTATAGGTGGTCTTTTGGCATCCATATAAACATATCTCCAATATTAGAGCCTGTGACTACCACATCATCTGTTGGCCAGCTGGGTGACATTATAGTCTGTATACTTTGTTGTAATGATTTCAAACAAGGTTTCACGCTCTTTACCTATTTTAATAATACAAAAAGATAATATTACCATTAGAATGGTATATCCATACATTTTTTGTAAATTACAATACTTATAATTATTCTCACCTGGCCAGCCATAAGATAATGACATACTTGAAGAACTAGAAAGTACACTTTTAGATACTCCTTTTGATATGAGTTGCCTTGCCAATTTTCTATATGATGGTTCGCTGAATTTAGAAGAGGATGAACCTCAGTGAACTTCTTATCTATTAATAATAGCATACACCGGCTTAAAAGAAAGAGAACTCTGGTATAACCAGCGTTACTTATGTGGGAATAATCAACGCCTACTGCAAGTAAGCTACTCGCTGCGACAAAGTCCTTCTCTGAGGCATGAATTTGCTGCAATCCATAAATCGTCACATACATATGAATACATTATTTATTCAAAACATAAAAAATTAGATACATTTGAATAAGAAAATGTCATATATAGTCAAGGTGGTTCTTTGTGCCTACTAATATTTCTTATAAATTTATATTATTAAGATGCAATAAAGAAATTAAACTTGTTAGACTTAATAAAGAATTAAGCTTGTTAAACTTACCGCAAGTTGAAAGATAAGCCTGCAATGCCAGTAGACATTGTGCTGAGACAGTTCTATTGCCTTCCTCAAAATTGGTTTACTCAAGTTTGGCTGCAGCTGCTGCTGTTGTTGTTCGTACAGGTCCGCGACAATGCTGGCTGCTTCAAACTTCACATCGTCAAACGTATTTATATTCTGACTTAACCGCCACTAAAAAGAATAACCAAGGATCATTATAAATTTCATCAACACTCTGATCGACATTAACTTAAATCATGATTGATATGACATTCAAAATTTATACCAGATTATGCAATTCATGATACAGTTAGAAATTCCAAAACTAGTTATTTATAGATTTGTAAATAGTAATTATATTTGTTTTTGTTAATTTATATATAAATAAATTGAAAAAAAAACATTAGGTATATATTCTTTTTTCCACGTGACTTTTTTCTTTCTCCTTGAAGACAGTGTATCAAAGTACAATAACTTTGACTGCGTGTAATTGTGATTGCAAAATTTTCCTTGTGACATATGTTAATGTACTAAATTTCATCAATTTATTATTAACAGTAACAAAAATTAAAGCTAAATATAAAATTAAGTAAAATTAATTTTACCTAATGCTAAATATTCCTGAAATATTTATAAAAGATTCCTAAAATCCCCAAAAAAACATTCCAAGAATATACCTGAATATTTCTAATGTAGCGAATTTTGTGAATGAAAGGGTTACTCCTTTCCACCATAATATCTCTAAAACAGTTGAGATCGAGAATCTTTCTCAAAGAATGGATATTTTACTGGTAAAGGCAAAATAAAAATCGAAGTTTCATCCCAAAATCAGAGTGACGCTTGGGGAAGCTTGTTGCAACTTTTGTTGTCATTACACGTGGCGAGGTTAGGACAAACAAAAATGCAGACGCGTGTAAATAGTGGATGAAGGAGAGGGATGAGGTGAGAAAAACAGGGACGATGGAGTTGCTCGATCTCGATATAACAGATAAGAAAGAGATAAAATACTGACCGCTTGATCTAGATGGTATCGCGCCAAATCGATGTTTTTCGTGTGCGTAAGCAGGATGTTGCCGAGCTGAAGATGAGTGCGCGCCTCGACGCGCTGTGGCGGCTTGAAGTGAAAGACCGCTTGCAAACACTGGATGCACGACTTAATGTTAGGCGGGTTCGACGTACGGAAATTCTCGGCCAGACCGAGCAACGACAGATACCAAGCGTCCTGAGAAGACGCCATTTTAACATTTCACAACCAAATGAGCTAGACGTATTCTATTACGGCCTGCAGTGACCTACCACCAGTGGGCATTGCAGACAGTGGTCAAGTTGATGCTAAGGCCAGATGATATGTATTGAATGAGATTACAGAATGAGAGAAAATATAAGAAATAAATTAAAGATATCATTATTATCGGCATTTTTTTGGAATTTAAAAAGTCTATATTATTATATCAACATCGATCAAATTCGGCCGTTTTCAGCTAACGCTAAATTATTCCTGAAATATTTATAAAAAATTCCTAAAATCCCCTCCCCCCCAAAAAAAACATTCCTAGAATATTCCAGAATATTCCATTTATTCCATTAAATATTCATTACATATTCCGAAACGGACCGAAACTGTTTCCATATATATTCTGCAAAATTTTAATTTTTCTAGAAATTTCAGGTCCCTGAATCTTTTAAACAAAATTTTGCTTCGAACACACTTCACACTTTCTTCTGAGAGCCCAATTTTAGGATTCCTGCACATAAAACGCGGCAACGCTTGCTAAGTGGCGGGAATTAACACAATCAGTTTATTGCTTTTTCATAAAAATGAAAGAATGATTGGTTATTGCGCTAACTTCCGTTGCGTGGCAAGTATTGATACGTATCGTCATATTCGCGTTGAATTCGATCAATCACTGACATTCCGTCGTTTTACGTACGCGACAATTTTATTCCTTCCCATAAGGTGACTTTACATGATATCAATAATAAAATGTAAGTGTTAATAAATATATACTGACAATATTACGTTATAGATCCTGTGTGGTTAATATTGATGGATTGATGTAGGATACTGACGGTGATCTAGATAAATTTATATAGATAAATTGAATTTGATCTATTTATAAAAATTCAACGAAATCAAAGTCATATGACTAAGTCATGCGTCATTTTGATTTTCTTCCAAATTTTTTTAATATTTAATAATTACTATCATTTCTTATTATACGCTATAGTAGCACAATAGCGTCTACAAAGCGTTAATTAGCGTTAAAAAGCGTTAATTTGTGCTTTTTTAACCTTTTGATAACATTTTTTTTTTCCAACATTCATAATTACCTACATTCAATAAATATCATTATATGCATTTATTAACTTAATTTCTAATCAATTAAGTTAATTGAAATTCAAAATCATCCTTAAGATAATACTAGAGGTTTGAATCCTCCTTTTCTTTGTTCATCTCTGCCTATGTGCAAAGGACGAATAGCTTCATGTTGAATCTAGCTAGCTTTCATGCAAATATGTCTATTATTCATTGTTAAGCAATATTCAAATTGAATCTTCGGCAAAAGGTTAATGTAAGACGTGATTGAATCAGCCACCAAGCCTCTTGGTTTATAAAACTCATTTTATACATTTTTCTCTCGATAAAGACATGTTCAAAGCTTTGTGTAATCATCAGTAAATAATGTGTACAGGAAATCACACAATTGATTATTTCATAATAATGAATTAAGAAAATAATTATATATGCGGGATTAAGCGTATCTTCAATCCACCTACATATCCGCGATCGGATAAAGCGTTCTTATTTTCATAGACTGCAACAAATTGCACGTACAGCAATGCTTTTCCACGTCGATGTAGGATATCCCCACCAGGTATTCAACAAGCACCGAGTTCCCGCCAGCTGATCACCAGTCGCCTGTTTCGAATCGCGCGGGATCGAACGCGCGAGAGCTCGTTGATCTCTATCTCTTTCTTTCTTTTTTTTTTCCATTTTGCGCGATGTCCCACGGCCGATGCGTGCTTGCATTCCTCTTCGGTTTGTTGACGTTTCTTTCGCCACGCGAAACTCACTGTGCCACGAACGTCACCGACATCGCGGAGCAGGTCCAGGCGGAGAACGCACTGGCGAAACTGGTGAAGATGTTCTCCAAACCGGGCGCGTTCAAGCGAGTAAGTCGGGGGATGTCGAACGGTGTTCCAGTACCTAAAGTTATTCCAAAATTATTATAAATTATTTTAAATTAATATTATTAAATTATTAAATTATTATTTTTTAATTATTAGTAATAAGAATTTTACTGAATCGTACATTTGAAAATTCAACAATAAAAAATAGAAGTAATGGCCGTAACGATAGAATACAAATATGATAGTATATAAAAAAAGGAGGCATGAAATTACAGCACTGGATGTTGTTTGTGAAATTTAATTATTCATTACATTAATAAAAAATCTTTAGACGTTTCGGCCACAATCTGGCCATCTTCAGTAAAAAATATTAGCAAAACGCAGAATTTACATATATCTGACATTGAATTCAATTTTGTTGTATAATATAAGTATATATAAACGTATTCTTTCATCTTGTTAATTATCATGTTGCAAGTTATGTAGAGAGAGAGAGAGAGAACAAGAATTTCTAAATTCTAATTTACAAATTAAACTATCATTAATAATTTCTAGTCAATTTTATGAGGATTGAATCATTACTTGTTTTGCAGACAAAATGATGAATCTTATATATAATAATACAAATATAATATATGCAAGTATATATAGGAATTTTTTCAGATTGAATTATTTAAACATTAAAAATCTAACTTTGACCATTATATGGCCATTATTTCTATTTCTTATTGTTGAATTTTTAAATTATTGTTATTTTTTTAATTATCCGAGATTATACTGTGCTAACTCTCGCTTGCATATCCTAATCTTTCAACGAAATCTTTAGCTTTAAAATCTTGAGTATTAAGATTTTAAGAATCTTGTAACAAAATGATTGTGAGTGAAAATGCACATATCTGTCAGTTTTGGCAAAGTTCGATTAAGCTGGAATTTTGTAAGATTGAATCACGAGTGTATTTGTGTCACGCAAGAATCGAAAATGGAAAAGTCGGTACCTTAATGAAAAGGCCATCCGGTTTTTGCGGGTTCCTTCTGTAAGTCGAATTTATAATTCCGAACAAATCGTTCGTGATGCAACCGTTGCATGAGAAGTAAACGCGCGCGACATACAAGGAGAAATAATCACCGGTGTATCCTATTACGTCGTTTGTAATAACAAACATTCAACTTAATTCCTTTTACATCCGTTTTCACCAATATAGATTAACTTAAATCTTGGTTCAACTTATGTTTCATCTTTTTCTAATTTTAGTGCCTGTTTCTACTAATGTAGTTTAATTTTAATCTTGGTTCAACTAATTCTTGATCTCTTTCTAGTTCTAAGAATTAGAAAAAGATGAAGAATAAGTTCAACTGACAATGAGATTAAAGTTATGGGCTTTCCACAATAAGCTATTATCTAAGTTTTAAATCTCAAGTCATAAGAAATTGACGAATCAAAGTCGATATTCTTCTCATTCGACTGTATCGAAATGGTCAATTTCTTACGTTTTAAGACTTAAAGCTTAGATCTTACTGTAGAAAGCCCATTAATCTATATTAATAGAAATGGGCTTTAGAATTTAAAAAATTCCAAGATTAAAGTTAATCTTCATTGATGGAAGTAGGTACTAGATTGCGATTTGATTGCTCACTCGTAAACATATTATTTGTCCTTATTTAATTATTCTGGTAAAAAAACGAAGGTAAAATAATATTTTTACAGCATTAATCACGAGCATGACTTGGACCAGCCTTAAGTGCATAAAGTGTTTTTCGGTAAACGGCACAAATTCAAGATTTTAAAAAATTTTCCGATTTTAACTCGTTTTTTAATCTCAATTTTTTAATTTTAATCGCTAATTAATTGTAGATTTTTTACAAGAATGAGTTAAAACGATTTTCAAGCTGCGATCAACGAAAACTTTCTCGAAGTAGAACTTTCTATCAACGATTGCGAACGCAAAGCGATAAAGATTTTGTTTTTAAATCCGACGGTGCGTTTGTGAGTTAATTGATGACTAACATTTGTCGAAATGAGAATTTCATAACAGCGGCGAACATTCGCGATGGAATTCTACGCTCAGCGATATGATGACGAAATATTTTTAGATCGACGCGATACTTGGTGAAAATACTATCGAGGCATCGTTCACGAGCTGTCCCATGGGCGAAGAGGGCCTGGAGTGTCGAAGGGCGGAGGCTCGACGATCGGTTGATTGTCCTCGAGGTAAATCCTTGTAATGTTGTCGCGGCAACGTAATGCGAGCGTACATCTGACCGCAATTCCAATCCGCACACGATACCGTTAGCGAGCTTCCTCGCTATTACGAAAAGAAGAAAAAAACATCGCTATTTGCTGTTTAACAATAGGGATTCTGACCTTGACAATAGCCGCTCCCAGATGACTATGTTCGCCGACGCAGCGTTAATGTCGCGCAATGCCTCGCCTCGCAATCCTCGCATCCCGGTAGCCGAGCAAAAATAACTGGGATATTATCATAAAATATTAGAGCGTTACCTAATTTCGAATGTTGGCTTAAGCAGACTCGAATGAAGCGACGGAATTAAAATTCATGCGTTTCAAGATTTAAATTTATCTTAATTTAATTACCCAGCCACAGAAATGATTAATCGAATCGACGTTGATTTGATAATCATTTCTGATTGGGTTAGTCATAGAACAATATAATCATCATAGAAAGAAGAGCGCCGTAGCTGTATTTTAGATCTGCATCGTACCTTTCTCTATGTAATGAGTTCAAATGAGAACAATTTAATTCGTGGCAGTTGTGCTCACGAGATTTCAAGCAACGTCGGAAGATGATATCGAGACGTTGTTTGAGATGCTTGAGATTTCAATGAATATTCAAACGCCAGATCCTCATACACATTAGAATTTGCTGCCGTTTTATCAGTGCTTGAGAAAGTCTAATTGCTATAACTAGGTGACAGTGATACACGTTACATGCAAGCGCTTTCAAGTTAATTATACATATGTTCATACATTAGAGTGCACGCGAAATATGACAGCGATTCTCAAGGCTCGAATACTGCATGGGCGAAAACATTGCGATCCAAATATTTCCGAATATACCAAGAAAACTGTGCTAATTTCAGTTTATTTAATATCTTTGTAATTTTTTTTCCTCCTTTATTCGTTTTTGAACCAGACAAACATTAAAATGTGGTGAACGTATAAAATTCACAAGATATAAACTTGTTGACTTATTCGATATTATACACATATCGGTAATTACTATTAATTACTTATTGAAGATTACGTAAGTTACACTGAATATAATCGAATTTCACTTGACGTTGAGTAATTTCTTAAAATATCGTCATCTTTTTCGAATAATTCCACGCAAAAAATTAAATTTTATTCTTAATTCATAATAATTGCGCGATTGAGAAACATCTCGCAAATGTCATTGCCGAGAATGTGTTTTGATTATTTATAACCAGTCTTTGAGTAAAAAATATATGCGTGCGATAATCTCACACGAGAAAATGTTTAACTCGTAAATTTTTTTCATCTCATTCTACATTCTTCGCAATAATCCCGACTGCTTCGTGACTATATATACTTCGCCTTTATGTCACAGGTTTGCAAATACGACATATGTAAGACGATATAAAATATATAATGGATAAGAGAAAGTAATACAGTAAGAGTATCGAAGATAAATCATTCATATGTCGTTTTTTAACTTACAACGCAAAACAGGTTTTAAATTTAAATGTTTTAAAAAATATAAGAAAATGTTTATATATATATATATATATATATATATATATATATATATACACACACACACAACATATGAATTAAGTATAAAATTAAATTTAAGTTAATTTTCTATATTTCGAGTAAACATAAGTTAATTCGCTTCAAATATCATTAATATAAGTATTTATTAATCAAAAATTTCTTATATAAGTAGGATTTTTTAAATATTCTTGATAAAAGAGAACGGCGATTCGGAATACATTGCTTTGAAATTTGATTTTATTATGGAGAACGCTGGTAACGCAAAACATAATCAAATATAGTTATTTGTACGTTCATCTTCGATGAAATGCGGAAACTGCTTATCGCGAGTTTGAATAGTTTGAAGATAAAAGAAATCGGCGCAAGTGAAATCGAGGAAGTGCGGTTTGTAGGAAATTTTCAGAGGAAATCGTTAAATCATAAATATTAAATGACATCTCGAATTGCAGGTGACTGTTTCTGTTACGATTGCGCCGCTGCCGGACCCGACTTGTGGGCCTCTTGTTGCCGTGAAAGCTTGAGGTGCTGCTCTCATCTCGCAGCGGCTTGCAGGACATGCGATCATCCGACATTGTATCCTTTCTGCGCCAAACACTTCAAGAAATGCGTGACCCAGTATGACGAGAAACAGAATTAGAGAGAAGATCTCTTCAATGTTTCAATTGTGATAGTTGACTTACAATGAGGATTACTATGTGACAGAAATATTTTACTTGTCCTCTTCGTTATCAAATTGTTTGCATAAACGCTCTGACTGAATAATCAGAGATATTTACTTGATCGTATTACAAGTTGCATAACCGAAATTTTACGCCGTGCTTCTAAATCTAGCATTTAAGTCGTTAACTCGAAGTCGTTAAACTGGTCCATCGACCTGATTGCTTCTAGGCCTAACTTTGTTTGAACAAAGATTTTTAGTTTCGCAACTGATTGTAGATACCTAAATCCTGATATCATTTAAATGACGAATCTACAATCAAACATTTATATTATTTGTGGAATGATATTACATAATATATAATAATTTATTATATTATATTATTATATATAATATAATAATTATATTATTTAAACCGAAAAATTATTTTGATTTTTCCAATTTACATACATAAGCTGAAATTTGTTATAATCAAAAATAAATTTGTAAAATATAGTTAATACATTAGAGAACATTTTTATGCTTATCAGCATATATTTAATTCTTACTTTTTAACTTAATCTTGGCTATTAATTTATTAAGACATTTTTTTTTCTTATCTATCAATTTGTTTATACGTAAAATTTCTGGCTCGTAGCTCTTTTTCTTTTAACTTGTTTTTTTTAATTATTGAGTCATTATACTATATAATATTAATTATATGTTGGAATTAATTCGTAGCGTTTTACAAGTGATGGGAAGTACTTTCATTAATGTATTTTTTAATGCTCATGTGAAATAAATAACATTCTTTCATTAAAAACGCTACGAATTAATTCCAACACCTAATATATTTTAAATTCTTGAAGCATCTTTTGAAAAAAATCTAATTTTTATAAAATTGAAAAAAAATTTGGATTTTTTCAATCGGTTTATGGATTTATAGGTCAAAATTTTGATATATAAATCAATAAATTCATATGTTCATAAATTTGCGAATACATAGATTCATATACCACCAGCATTTTATTGTTTTATCCTTGGCAAGACATCGAATAATTAGGAAATTACTATAACAGAACACACATAATCTTGGATTCGCCGATATAAACATAGAATAATTACAAATACGAACGAAAATCTCGCAGATGCGTTAAACTCAAAAAAAGAAACGAAAATATTACAAAAGATAAATAAATATCACCTTTTAATACAATCATTGGTAAGCTTTATTCATATAGTTTCCAGAGTATTCGGTAATCTTTATTTATCTACTAATTCTATAAATTGTGGGGACAACGCTTTTCATTCGGACAGATGTTCCAAGATCGGTATACGAATTTCGCAATTTTTTCCTTGACAAATAAAAAATGTGCGCACGTCACACAGTCTTTAACGGCTCAATATTCATACTCATGAAATATTTGCGTCCCCAAGCGAACCCGTATTTTCTTCTTTTTTTTTCCCATTTTGCGATTGCCTTAGAATTCTAGCTCTAAATATTCGCCATCCCTCGTTTCTGTCGTGTAGCGAAAAGAGAGTTCCTTTTTTTTAGGATATAAAATTCTCTCGCACTTTTTTTGAAAGGTATTTAATTGCTAACAGCACCACACAGAGATTAAAGAGAGACAAGACTAGAAAAGAAAAATAGAAGGAAACGTATTCTTTTTGTTTGTGAGAAACGAGACGCGGTCTGATTACTGAATGCGATTAATCTATTTGAATAATGATGATAATGATAATGATGATAATTTTCTTTTTAGCGAATCGGCGGAAATTCCAAGAGTCATACATCAGGCACATCTTCGTGCCAATTTTATAAAGAAATATAAGATAATATTCTCTATGATTATTTGTATCGGAAAATAAATTTAATTTAAATTCCTATATTGATTCTTTCATTTATTAGGTAAAATATCGCAAGCGATTGCGGAATTAATAAGTTTATTTCCAAGTAGTTTTAAATAAACTCTCATTAAGTTTATCAAAATTTCCTTCATCGCTTTCAATTTCTTAAATTATGTAAATCAATCAATAATTTACTAATTAACTGGACAATTTAATAATATATATATATATATATATAATGAATGTTTATGATAAATTATAATTTTAATTTCAACTACTATTTATTTAAAGAGCAATTTTTTAACATAAACAACTTGGAAATAACCTTTAATTATCAAAATTATATAAAATATTGCTCTATTTTCTCGGGGAAGTACGTTCAAGCTTTTAAGAATCTCTCCTCCTTCACGTTGTCATTCTATTTCGCTCTCGGATCTCATCTTAGAATAACGACGACAACGACGACGACGACGGTAGTGCCCCAATGACGGTAATTAGTTGACGACATATTATTATGTTTTTTTCTTACACAAAAAACACAGATCTTGATCTATTATGCGATCGTAGACTTATTATGGTGTACATGTATATCAAGTACGAGTTCAAAATCTATCACGTAGTACAAAGAGAGATGATTATGCGCTATTTTAGTTTATTAAGTTGTATCATATACCGAGAAATATCAAGACTATAGTACTATATATTTAATTGATTCGGAAATGTATGAGACCAAGATCGGTTAGCCCAGAATTAATTAAATCAGACTATTAGTGGAGGAGGAACGGGGTGAAGGAAGGACTGATAATATTGGGGACAAGTGCCGGATACTTTTTAATTCGTTCAAGTGCAGACTCTCGTAGAGGATGTCGTAAAAATCCGGCGGTCGCCGTGTTGTAACAATTCGCAAAAATCTCGATTACGTATCTCCTCTAGTAAGTTTCTTTAAATACTTTTACATTGAATGTGACATGAAAATTAATCGCGCTGAGTTAATAATCGCGTCGAATCCTAATTATCATTGCAGATTCGTTTGAGTCTCGTTTTTAACGTACAAGAACAGTCCCAGTTAAGTCGTGTATACATCGCCCGAGTGCATATTCTACGAGCCCGACTTAACGTACGACTTAACGTCGCACAAGAAAATCATATTTGTGCGCGAATAACACACGTGTCGCTCTTTATTAGAAACTCGCTGATGCATACTTCGTATGTCGAGAGAGAAAAAGATTGCTATACATCTCACATGTGCTGGCTTAACATCACACTCATACGCGCTTTCTTACAAAGGTCATTTTTTTCTTTTTTCTCGTATGTAGCTACTGCTCTATCTTGCGTTAAACTTGCCTTAAAAATACAGTTCGGAGAAAATGAGATATACACATAGTACAGGTACTGCCGATGATTGCAAAACTTGGCAAATCAACGGCAAAAATCGTATTAACTATCTAAGGGTCTAAAAAGATCCTTTCCATCAACATTCGTTACCTCGTCTTACATTCGTGCCTTTCCTCTTGCGATCATCCTTATTATTGTTAATAATCCGATTTTGCAGTCATTTTACACTTATTATTGATTTATTTAGTGCCTTGTGTAAATGTCTATTTGGTTCTTTATATTATATTGTATAACAGAGTTGTCTAACTTGTGACTTTATCATGCGAGCAAGCAAGCACTTTTATTTTGCTTTTTATTATGCTAAATATTAAAAAATAAATATTTCTTATGAACAAATCAAGAGAAAGATAAAGAGAAGAAATATATTTCTTGCACAATTCAGTAATATATAACTTTGCTATTATAATAAATTCATATCATCATTTTGTATATAACAAAAAGCGATAGGATATATATGCGATACAAAGAACAAAGTAGTATAATAACAAAATGATCGTTCACTTGCGCTTAATTAGACAACTCGGTGTTCACAATTCAAGCAATTGCATTCAATGTTATAATATGCTTGTCGATACACTTAAATTAATTATTATGTTTATATATCAGTTGTTCAGTGGACAGTTAACAAAATGATAACGCATATGTGTACAGGAAAGATTAGAAAAAAGGAAATGAACGAAATTTTCAATTCGGGAGAGTTTAGTTGATCTCCATTAAACAATGAATTAATTACGACGATCTGTATCTCAACTCATACGTACATTGAGTGTGTATTTCAGTGACGGAAATAAAACCTTTACCCCTTAGATAACAATAAAGTCATAAACGTACACGTCAATTGACATATTCACAACGATTATTCTTTATACAATACTAACGAATGTCATTCTTCCGATGTACTTCAAGTTGAGCTTCACCTTAACTGAGACACTAATGTTGGCATAGTGTAATTCAGGCGTACAGAATTACGACTGCACACTTTACTAGATTCTCCATTTCTTTCGTTATACACGTTTTCATTGTTTATTCGCATTTACTGCTACATCATCCTTTAAATGCGTCCGGTTACGTTTTCCAATTATGTGGATGGGCTCTTGGTGGTGCTTGATTGCCTTGCGCTTGAGACGTCTGCGACGGAATCATATCGAGCAGATATTGACGTTGAAGATCCGCCGCTTGTCGTTGTAACTCTACGAGGCCTTTGCCACCGGCAGCCATTGCTAATTGGTAGGGATATAATATCGAGGTAAAATGCGGCATCACGTGAGCAGGAAGAGGTTGATGCGGTGGTATACCCGGTACTGGATTCTTAGCCAATTCTGGAACAATAATAACAGAAAATGATAAATTATGATTAGTTGTATTAGTTTTCGCTCAAGATTTTCTCGAGGATATTTTTATTCACCTCTGAGCAATTGTTGCTGCAAAGCTGCCGCAGCAGCTGCATGATGTGGACTGAACTTCCCGCTCTCGGCCAGTTTCACCAAGGGATGTTCTTGCAGTTTCGGCGCGGGAGGCGTCGGCGTCAACGTAGGTGCCGGTGGCACCTGCGGCGGAGGTGCAGGTGGAGTAGCCACTCTTCTTGTAGGAGTGGCTGCCTTAGGAACTGGTTTCGGAGCTGGAGGATCTGGACTTGGACACGCAGCTTGCGCTAGCCTTTGCTCTATCTCCTGCTCTTGTTGTAGCGCTTTTACGAAAGCAGTTTTTAATCTGTAATCCCATATAAAATCTATTATATCATACGAAAATAACATTATTTTATTTTTTATTTTGCAGAAATATTTTAAATTTTCAAAATTATTCGGTTATTTAAACAAATCTTATAGGTGTATATATGTAATAAATAATATATACATATGTTAGATCTTCTATATGCAATAGTTTATATAATATCAATTAAAAAATTAACAAAAGATTTTACTATTATTTCTATATTATTAATACTTTAATCTTTTGAGAATTGACATGTTTTTGATTGACTTTTTTATTTTAAGGGCTAGAATTTTTTTGTCATTGTCATGGGGTTAAGTAGCGAAAAAGATGATCCCACTGTCGAATCTTTAAAAGGGCCTCCGGTCTTCCAAAGGTTAATATAAACATAAAAACCTACCGATTAGTGTGCTCTGCTTTCAACGCTTTCTTCACATTAGTTGTCACACAATGCTCACATATGACTCTAGGATCGCGACCCGCTGATGGACGTTGGAAAGTCGCATGCTGCCCCCTAGGACTATCCTTTTTACCACCAGGCATAGGTTTTTCCCATTTCCATACGGGTGTGAAGTCTGTTTTGCATTGTGAACACTCGAATGGTTCAGGAGGTGGCGGTATTGCCGGTTCTTTCGTTATAAAATCGACCACGTGTTCCAAACCAACCAGATATATAAATTCCGTATTGGAGGGATTCGGCACAAAGTGCATCTCTGGTGGTGGCGGTTTTGGCGGTGGTATTTGTAATAATGTTTTTTCGAGCTGCTTCCTTAGAGCCATTTTGGCAGCTGCTTGACGTTGAGCAGGTGTTTCGTCTCGTGATGTTCTCTCCTACATTATTGAAAATATAAAATATAATTTGATGTAATAAATTATACTTTATACAGTTAATCTTCCAACACAAAAGACAAACGTCTTAAATAAATAAGAAAAATATAAACATATAAAATAAAAGTTAAAAGTAATTTAGCTAACTCATTTTGATCTGTATCTTTGTTTATGTGTTGTACATTATATATATGTATACATATCAAATATAAATTCAATAGCTGCATGCAAATTAATTAATTTAATATTAATTAATTTATTTGACTATAATATACTCCTTATACAATAGTTTCTTCTTCGTATATAGTAATACAATTTACATTTAAAAAATAGACATGTTAGTGAAAGTTTAGCAATGCTGCATGTTACAACTTATATTATGCATTAATGAAGACTTGAAAAAATACTTTCCTATATATATAGTTTCACTAACAAAATAAAGAATCGTTAGAAGCACAGAAAATAAAGCTTAATTGAAATATCATAATTAACATAGAGAAAAAAAAATAGATTAATAGCTTTTAGAGAATAGATAGAAGACATTATATATTGATCGACGAATGAATATACCTGTTCCGAATTCACAGGTGTGCTTAAGGATGCGGTGGTTTTATTTTCTTGCGATCCAGCAAGCAGCTTTGTGTTTAGAAAAACACAATAAATTGATTATATACGTTGTTCACAGTTAAAGAATTATTTAACACTTTCACGGCCGGGTCAGCGTTCGCATCAACGATCGCTCGAATTGTATTGTGCGATCACGAATAATGTATTAGCAGTGAAAGTGTTAGTTTTTAAAATTATTCAGTAAAGGAGCTTTCAGCGGTTTTACTGACTTATTCTTAAAGTTCAAGTAAAATTACAACTTGAACACTACAGGGTTGGCCATATTCGACGGAAAGATCTGGACAACACTGTAACTTTTGACAGAGATGTTAGATCGAGTAACGACGTTTCCCATTGATTGAAAAAAAAACATCTTTCCGTCGAATATGGCCAACCCTGTATATATATGTAAGCTTATAACAAAAATAGTAAAATGTGATATTATACCTTACTTACTTGATGCGCTGGAGCCGGTGTTGGATCCTTTGTAGACCTTTCCGTTCTGTCCGTTGGCGCATGATAACTTGAGACACTCGCTGCCGCTACACTGGGTGGTCTTCCTCTAGGATGAGGTGGTTGTGGTATCACCATGTTAGGAGGCATTCCGCCTGTACTTGGAATGGCATTCCGACCAGCGTTAGGAGGCAGTACCATGCCAGGTGGTGGAGCATGTAAACTACTACTTCTGCTCGGTGCAGGCTGACCCTTAAGTAAAGGCGGAGGTGCTTTCCCAGCTCTGTGATAAAGAAAATGACTTATTTCGACTTGACATAACAATGATAAAATTATATTTGAAAAAAGATAATATTACAAAGGATCTTACCTATGAGGCACCTGCTGTGCCGTTACTGGCGGTGGTAATTTGTTGAGCACTTTAGGTGCTGTCGCGATGTTCTCTTTCAGTTGCTGAGACTGACGTAATTTCTTCAAAAGCACTAATTTCATTTCTTCAGATTTGAGCTCTTCTCTATATTTTCTTAGAAGTCTTTCGCGTTCAGCCAACTCATCGGATGACAGTTCCTTGATTGGCACCAACGGAGGCATGTCACCTATTTAAACATTCAGCATAAATAAAATCAATGTAATACTAAGATAAAAAATCATAAATAATTCTCTATTTTTTAACAATAAATAAAGAAAAGAATAATAACAACCTTCATCGCTGTCTGAAGCATTTCCATTTAGATATCCATTCATCCTAGGCTCATCAGGACTCTCGGCGTAACTCCTTTCGATTCTAGGTCTAAGATTACGACGTGGCTTACGTTCGTCTCCATGTGATCGTTTAGGTGCCAAGATACCACGAGCTGCGTTCTGTATATTACGTGCCTCTGGCATATTGTTCTCCAAATTGGAACCGGAGGAATAGTGAACCAAGTCCAACGGGATATCACCAGAATTCACAGAAAGGGACGGGGAATTACGCCTACCACTGCTGCTGAAAGAATTACATTACAGGAATTAGGGAATCTGTCGCACAAATATTTGTTATCATGCAGAATAAATAAAATTTGAAAATTTTACTATTTTAAATATATTCAAGAATATGTCAAGTTAAAAGGTAACAACAACCTACTTCTTCGTCACACGGTCTTGGATAAAAGGCAGGCATTATCATAAATTACCATAGTATATAATTGTCCCCCATTTTTTAACATTTAAAATTGTAAAATTTAAAGCGACATTGCCATAAGAAACGTATAAGTTGTCGTTACTCCTCTTTTATTTCCTATTTAATTAGAAGAGGTACAAGAACGAGAAAACTGTTCTCCCCAGAAACAGACGGTACTTCACCTGATGCTCAGATCCACCACCGCATCTCCATCCACATCCATGGCCTCCATTCTTTCGACCGTGGTCACTCTGTAATCACAAATACACGCTTGTAAAGTCGATCAACACGGAGACATTTTATTTCCGAGAGAAAGGGAGAGGAGGGCGGGGGGGGAGAAAGAGAGAGAGGAAAAATATCATGTTACGCCGTTTGAAAACGCGCGCTGCGGAAGAAGCAGCCACGACACTGTTTAATCTCGCGCGTACAGCAAAGGGAACCGCGCGTGGAACAAACCGGACTACATTACGCGGGGACACGCACGCTGCTGCACGCATGCACACGCACAGGCGCGCTGCTGTTACTCGCTCTACTCGCGTTGGCCATACAACTGGGTTACCGAATTTCTCCTGCGCGCATTCTCGGTATGCTCCGCCGTCCCCGCAGCACACGACGCGCCCCGATGGGATCCCCAAAAATCCTCCGGCGTGATTACGCCGCGTGACGCGAAGAGTATCGCGGACACGCCACACACGCGGACGGTGAGCGGCCAGCGGCACGTCGACGTCAATGTCGACGACGACCAGATATCCCGTACGACGACGCGCGAAACCGAGAAACATCCGTGACCGGGAGACGACGCCACTAGCATGAAGGCACGAAGAGAGAGAAGCAGGGGAAGGGGAGACACAGTGAGAAAGAGACAGGGGGGAAAGGAGAAGAGTATGGGGCAGGCGATCGGCCAATACCTGCGGAAGTAACTGTCCTAACCTAACTTCCACGGGAGTTTAAAGAGAATTGGTAGAACACACAGCATCGGTGAAATGAGTTTCCAGAGAACGAGGACGCGCGCGACCGCTTCTCCGCGACGAGGACAATGTCGTCGTGGTCGCGGTCGCGGTCGTAGTCGTTGCTGGTGAACGACACGGGGCCACGTCGGTATCCGGACCACCGGCGTATCACTCGCGCAGGGTCGCGCGCTCCTCTTTTTTTTTTCCTTGGCAAAGTGCACGCACGCACATATACACTCTCTCGCTCTTCGCCGCTTTCTCTGGCTCTTCGCAATTGAAGAATTAAATTTGATGCCTCGGAAGTGGCGTCTCCGACACAATGGCAGCTAAGCGTAGCGGTACAAGACCCGCGGAGTAGGTAGGTCGGTCGAGGGGAAGACGGCGGCGGCGGGGGGAGGGAGAGGGCAAGCGCGCGTGAGAGGGATGGCGCGGCGCGGCGCGCGCGGGGAGAGGAATGGTCGCACATTAATTATTTCTCCTCTCACCCCTACTACGACCGCGGCACGCTAGCCGCTCACCCACACGCGGCGCGGCCGCGTAACGGGCTAGAAACCAATTTCTCTCTTTCTCTCCATCTTCATTTCCCTCGCTCGCACGCATGCATGCACGCACACTTATACACTCACGCACACATACGCTTACTCTTTTCTACGTATGTATCGGCGGTCCATCGCTCCTCCCCCCATCCCCGTCCAGCGCGCTCTCGCATTCTCCCTTTCGCACCCCTTGCGGGTTTTCCCGAATTTCGTCTCTCCGTACGTGTCTCCCGCCCCCACCGTCGCCCTCCCGGTCGCTCGCGCGCCCTTATGCCCTACGGGAAATCGATTTTTCGACGGCAGGGTCCCCACTGCGAGCTGCTTCTGCGGCGGGTCGCAGTACCACCTCCGGTGCGAAAGGGTTCGCGACGTTTTTTCGGCAAAGGCCGCCTCCTCGCACGCGGCGTCTTCGCGCGTCCCTGACTCCTTGCGCGCGCCAACGATCGTCATTTTGCGTGCGAAGAGAGGTCAGCCGGCAGTCGCGCGCGTGCCTATCCAAGCGTGTTTGCGTTACGGCCTCGCGCCGCACGCGAGTACGGCGAGTACGGCGAGTACGGCACACAGACAGGCGATATAAATTCGATAGAATCCCCCTCTATCCGTCGTCTTTCGAACGTCACTACGTCGTCCGTACCGGCTTGCGAGTTGCGAAGCTTGCCCTTTTCGCTGCATCGAATTTGAGCCGCCTAAACCGCCGCACGTGGGACGCTTACCCCCTAGTTTCCATGCACACGAATCAACGGAAAACACACTACTCGCCTACTCGTCTTAGTTTCACCTCTCCCTCCATTCCTCGCCTCGCCGCTCGCCGGCGTCACGTGACGCGGCGTACACGTATCCCACAGGGGTCTCTAAACTTTCTGCACGCGCAAGTATGTGTAACTTCTCGCATAGTACAGCGCGAAGTTATGTCATTTCGCGCGTTTGAAAACGGAGTCGGGCGGCCTCTGCGCGACGATGCAAAGTTCGCCGCGAAGATACCGATAGCAATCTCTCGACGCTGACGTACTCGACTGTAAATTTAGCACAATGTAACTATGCGATTGGAAAAAGATCACTGGAGTCGAAGAGATATGGTAGCTTCCGACATGGGACAACGCCAAAGAGAGAGAAGTTCGCCACGTTTATCTGTATCACGTGATACGGAAGACGCGCTAATTGATTAACGTCTAACTTCTTATCGATAACTGGAAATAAAAATGAACGCAGCAACCCGCTAGATCCGACCTTATCTAAATAGAACATCACTGCGTAAAACATCATCTTTCTAATAACACTAACAGTAACATTACATCAATATTTTATTATAATTTCTCACTTAACAATATAATGCACTGACAATGAAGCCTTAGTAACGAAACATAATAGGTACGGTAAGCTTTAAGCCGTAAAAAATCTAAGGTCTCGAAACACAATAGGTGTAGTAAGCCTTAAATCTTGAAAAATTCATCATCCACCAATCATCGAGTCTTCGAGGGATTTAATTAATCATAGTCAGTCGATTATTCTCTTCACATTCGACTGTGATTGTCAATATCTTATGAATTAAAACTTCCTACATTGCACCTATTGTGTTTCGAGACTAATGCACAATTGAAAATCACAAGCAATGTGATACAAGCGTTCAGCAGAAAAAGCAGCTTTGCAACTGTTGTAAGATTCCTCAATGATTGGTTATACATTTAGACTGAGTTACGAGTCAATGGGCTTTCCATGATAAGCCGTTAAGTTTTAAGTTATAAGCTGTTAGAAAAACTGACCAATTATAGGGTGCTTTACGGCAAAAGACACAGATGACACAGTGAATCATTATATCTTTGTTATTAACATTAAACAAAGATCACACTGCGACTATATCCCAAAATTGACTGTACTGAAAATCTATAGTGCATGTAACGTAAACTAAACTGTAGCATATTTTCAGCGCTGACAGTAAATTTGGAGTACAGCCTATGTTGTTTACTGGAAGCAAACCACATAGTCAATTATTCTTTTCACGTTCGATTGTGATTGATCAATTTCTTATTGTTTTAGACTTAAAGTTTAGGCTTAATGACTTATTGTCGACAGCTCACAGGAGTTAGATTCTAATTAGAATCATTCATATGAAAGAATCTTACAACAGTTGAAAAACTACTTTTTTAATACAAGAACAGGGAATAAGACAGATTTTAACTTATCAGGGCTGCGTTTGAAAACATCACCGGGTGTCTTCGTAATCATCTTATTCTTGTTTAACATTGGGTTGGGTGAACAACAAGGATAAAACGATACACGGGATACTCAGGTGATGTTTCCAAATGCAATCTAGAAATCGTGTATACGTATAAAATTCGGGTTTAATAGATTGAAACTGTTATTCTCTGTTGCTATTGCCGGTGCTTTTTTCAATTGTGCATAAAGTCTTAAGGAGCAGATTTTTATATTATATAAGGCATAAGGCATAAGAAAATCAACCAATCAAAATCTTTTATGAAAAGGAAAGAAATGAAGAACTTTGATTACTTCATTTTCTGATGCATTACCCATAATGTGTTATGTAATACAGTGCTCTCGCCCTTGAGACCATGGCACATAGAAAAACTTAAGCAGAAAAACATAAGCGATAAGGAAAAGAAATCAACGTGTTGAACTAATGTTTACGTTATGACCTTACGATTAGTCTTTACTGTAATTAGTCAATTCGCTTACTGCTTAAGTTTTTTTGTGTGCCATGACCCTTAAGGAAATTATACATTGATACTGTTGGAGTTTAACTGGGTATCTAATCGCGCAGCATTCGAGTTTCGATGAATTATTAAAGATATTCTAAAGTCGTTTACCAAGTCAATAGAACTTACATATATACATGGAAAAAAAATTAATTGGGTGGTACAGCAAATCTATAATTTGCTACGCGAATTCAATATCGATAGCTAAGAAGATTTGATGGTTTAACAAATCGCTAATGTTATTCAGCTGTCAACTTTGCTATTTTAATATAGAAAATTGACTGTCTATATATTACGACTGTAGATTTGCTGAATCAGTGAAGTTTTCAGCTGTTTTTTTGCGTGTACGATTTACGTGTCATTGACACACTACTATCAATATCGTACGCACACATACGTACAAATTTTCTAATCTTTCATATTAGGTAAGCCTAAGAACTCAATATTGTTTATTCGTATAATCTTTACTCCAAACTAAAATTGCTTTATACAAAGTATAAAACTTATATAATATATAAAGCAAATATTGTTACGAGTCGATGCCAAATGTCGATAACAAAACTGTAATTTTCCAACTTCTTTCGTTCTTTAATAGCATAAAGTCGATCGGTTTGAACTATATTTCTGTTTATACTTTAATTATGGAAAAGGATTTGTAAATCTATAAAAACAGAGAAATGCTTATTTGAAGAATAATCGATAAAACACAGACGACTCTAGGATCCCCTTATGTCTTGTATCCACGATGTTAGAAATCCCTTCGAGATCTCGGACGGAGAAATGATTAAAGAATTAACATTAAATCATATCTTAATTCGGTTACATGACCAATGCGCTTGGTCAATTCTTTCTCCTTGGCTCATTCTTTACGGTTCATCTTTCCTTTTTTTTCTTTTTGTTAAAGAAAAAAAAAGAGTAAAAATAAACTATGCAAGAAATTCAACTAAAAAGAAAAGGAGAAATCTATTAATAGATCATTTCATTTGTCATACGAAATTTTCAAGCATAATTGGTCAAAATAGAGACATTTTTAAGGTACCAGAAATCCTCTGTCTTGTAGTCCAACGTTTTTAAAAATTTGTCGCACGACAAATGAAACATTAGCCTTATTCGGCTGAAAAACAACGATCGATCTGCCTATATTTCTCTATCGCATGCAATTCGCGCGAATACACAGATTTCTTTCCCGACTTTCGCCGATCAACATGCAATGCGAGATCGACTCGCGTCCCCGTTCGTGAATATACATAGAGTTATTGTTCGTATCTCACGCGTGATGATCAATTTTCCACAAAAAAAAAAATACATATAAGCCTGAACGTGATCTACGTAGTAGATATGTCGTAGCTGCCGCGAATCGGGTCGCCGAATTTTCACCAACGATGTTTTTTCGGTTTTCTCGGTACGATTATGCTAGAACTGGAAATATCGGACTTTTGTGTTTACACGTCAAAGAGAAACAGAAGGACCAAAATTTGAACAAATAGTTGTACGAGAGAGATAAGAGAAACACAATCAAAGTCTATTTACTTATTGTAATAAAGATTCTTAATATTGTTTATTACTTAATATTGTTTACTTATCGTCGACTACAAGAGAATCTTCCAAAAGAACCTTCATAGATAATTCACGATCTTTCAATACATCGATTTCAGAAGTATGGCCGTACTTATCCATAGGCGTAATATTTAAGCAGATATATTTGTAGTTAATCCGATTCCCGAGATTGAAATCCAAAATTCATTCAGACATCGATTTAATAAATTAAGACACTTTATTTAATATAATTAATTGAATTTAATATAAATTAAATTGTATAATTACAATTTGAATAATTTTATAATCTCGTGTAGTTAATATTAGTTATGCTTTTAAATTTATCTTATAGATATACACTTTTGCAATATACGTATTAGTATATAATTATATCTACTATTAGTGGATTAAGGGGTATATCAACATACACGTAATCATCAAAAAGTAAACATATATTCTTAACAATGCCAAATTATCAATGTAAGTAAGGAATATATACATATATTGCTATTTTTGGTTCTCACAAGAATTACAAATTACTTGGAAAATGATTAAATGCAAAATAAATCATCCAATTGGCAATTTATTCGCGTCTTTCATTAACGAAGTGACATGTATTACGATGATAATTTTAAAAAGTAAAAATAGAAAATAAGATGTAACTTCTATTATATATTGCAGTTTATAATTTTTATATTTTTAATTAGTTACATATTTTTCTTTTATATTATATATATATATATACAGACTGTTGCATTCAATTGCGTTGCTAAATATAACAACAGCGTTCATATAATAATTCAGTCGCGAAGTTTTAGAAACTATTATATTATTGTACAATTTATGTTCTTGACTTTCGAAATTAAAATCTTTAAACAAACTAAATTATACTTATGTAAGTTTAAAATTTAATTGGCAGAAATAAATTCGTAAATAAGAATTTTAATATTACTTTTAATAAATAAATTTCGACACAATATGCTCGCTCAAGGTACAGAAAATATCATTGTTTAAAGAAAGTTATTCTTTCAAAAAAAAATTAATTACAATTTTTAATTACAGTGCACGGTAAAACATGAATACGTAACATTTAACATTATGTATGTGTGTGTGATAGCAATTAAAATACTAATTATTTATTTTTACGTCTGTTTATAAATTGAACATATAAAATTAAATAAAAGAATCGCGCCTACATTTAATGAACATTTTAATTTTACATGAAGGTAAATTAACGATCCACTCGCAGGAAAATGTTCGGTTCAATTTTGTTATAAAATATGCAGTCCATTAGCAGTCCATATCTATATATATCTACGCCGCGTTACATTAATTGGGACATCAATAAAAAAATTCTAAATAATAAATATCATATATCATATCAAATGCGCTCGTTTTTTTTTCTTTTCTCCGTAGAATCCTCCGAAAATATTACGCCTAGAGTGCCAAGAAAGCAGGTACGGCCCTGCGACACAAGGCTTCCGCATAGCGCCTTGAACCTTTGCTTTCCGTACCCTTTGTCCCTCCCCCCATCTCACGACTCCCTCCCGAGTGTCGTGGTACGGCCGTGTGAAGTCTTTGGCGATACGTACCTATGATTTCGATCAGGGCTGATCCGAATTCGCGTGGCGGTTCAACCGACATACGAGACGAGACGAGCCGATTCTGCTTCTCCTCTCCTCCACCTTCTTCTCCTCCTCGCCGCGCGTACGTCTCCTCCTTCGCAACACGGTACGCGGCGCCGACCGCGTACGGCGAGATGCAAGACGCGCCGCCGTTGCCGGTGACGACGACCGTTTCGTTTTTTTTTTCTTCTCTCCCTCTGCGCCTCACTTCACACGTCACCTCGACCGCGGTCCACCGCACTCGCGTATCACCACGATTCACACGGCGAGACGCGCGACGCGCTCGCTTATTGCACTCACTGCCGTCACTCGTCCATGGCGATATGGCGCGTATGTCGCGTCGCGCATAATAACCACGTATTCGTAGTACAAAGTCAAATGTGCACTCGAGCGACCAGTCACCCGGCGAAGCGTTCGTTTCTTGTCCACCCGCCCGCCCTAACGTTCGTTCATTCGTTCGTTCCTCCGTTTGTCCGTCCGTCGTCCCTGCGCTTCTGCTTGCCGCCGAGCGTCGCGTTTTCGGCCTCACGTTCGTTCGTTTCTCTCGTATACCGGCGGCGCGCACGATACGGCAAATCGTGATCGCGCACACACGCGGCACGCTCCGTCACATGTTCCGAGCGATCTTCATCTATTTCATCGGCACGCACGCACGCACGTACGCACCTTTTTTCCGCGAGAAAGAATGCCCGAGTTCCGGACTTCCACGCGCGTAGCGACACAACGACCGAGTTCCCCCCGGATGGAGGGGAGACGATTGCCGGGCATGCGCAATGGCGTCAACGTTAGCAGACGCGCTCGTTCCCCAGATTGTGGAATTTCTTTGCGCATGAGCGCTCAACCACGTGACTGTCTCGCAGCCAGTGCACCACGGTGATAATGTAGGAAGATGGGAGGGTTCTTAATTAAAAATTGTTCGCCATTTTATTATTTTTCATTTATATATATATACATATATATATATATATATATATATACATATATCTTTTCAATAAATCCTAATATTTGTACAAGACTGAATATGTGCTCAAAGATTTAATAAATTTTACTATATATAGTCGATATATCGATATATTAAGCTACAAATGCTTCGAAGTATTTGATGGATCAATCAGTAGAAAGCATTTTACAAGTTGACACATACAATTAAAATATACAATTACAATTATAACATATATACAATTAAAAAATGTTTTAAAGCATTTGTAGCATTGTCGCGTTAACTTTGAGACGCAGTCGATACAAATGTTGTTTTATTCTTCTTAGTATTCTATAACAAAAGTAGAATGACACTTTATTGTGTCTACTGTAATCTTCTAAAAGGAAGATAGCTTTTATTTGATTAACAAAGTACATTTTTTAAGAGATGTCATAGGTTTCCATTTGGCGATATGAGTCGACCAAACATTATATCTTTTATTACTTTTATTACTGAATGTCAAGAAAGATAGAATGATGTCAACTAAACGGAAAGCACTTACATGGTCTGTTTTCTGTTTCTGCACTAAACTGTCCTAGAATTCTCTTTCTCGCTTTCGACAAATATTAAATATATATGTATCTCACTTTTAAGTTCCAAAAGTGTACACTAGTTCAGCCACAGAAAACAGACCTACAGGGTAATGTAAAGAAAATTAATCAAGAAATTAATTCATAAGAAATTAATCAATCACACTTGATTATTTTTTCTTTACATTCGATCGTGATTGGCCAATTTTTTATGAACTTAAATAATTTTTTACGACTATCACATATCATTCCTTTTGTTTTCTGTTTTCTGTCTTCTTCTCATAAAACGATATAAGTGCTTCTACAAAGATGTAATACTAATCAATATTTAATATTGAAAGACAGTAATTAATTACTTATTTTAAGTATTGAAAATACTATTGTTCAGTGCTTTTAGTATTCTATATAATTCATTCTAAATAATTCATTACTATCTTTCAATAATAAATTGTCTATACACATATATATGATTTCTATATGACAGGACTATTTTTTATTTTTTATTTTAATAACTATTGAGTGTAACTGTTAACTACAACTGTTAAATACAAATAACAGATAGAAATACAGTAATATTCGATATCACTTACACAACAATAAATGAGGCGACAGTTTAGCAGTTGATTTGAAGCCGTACTTGAATATCAAAGTACATTTCAATATTACGAAATATGTGAAATATAAACAGTAACATAAATAATATAATTAGTTTTACCAAAACTATGATACTCAGAAAAATGTAAGCAATAAAATTTAAATTGTAAGTAAATCAATCACAGTAGAAAACGTAAGACAATAAAACGTAAGCGGCAAATAAAAAACATTGATTTCCTTACTGTTACGTTTTACTATTCTTGCAAAATGTGCGGGAATCCTAACGGTATTCTTATTTCGATAAAATATTCACGCTACTGAGCTGAATATTTTATGCATGTTTAAAAAAAAATCTGAGAACGCCAGCTTATTCTTTAATGATCATATGTAAATCTTTATTGTTTAAAAAGTATTATCGCGCTTGAATCGTCACAAAAAGAATTAATAGAAAATGTCAAAAAAGATGCTAGATTATAGTGAATAAAGAAAATTACGAAATAAAATATATCGAGTATTACTGAAAGAAAATTCCTACGCGACTTAATGATACTTTACATTGCTCCTTGATCTGCCGGAGCTAGTCAATGACACAAAATGTTCTTGAATGTGCACGAACGTGCTGGGATCGAATACGTTGTAAGCAGGTTTGAACCTGATCGGGTTTTTACGACGCATCGAAAAACGACTGCGATATACTCTCGAACGGAATCGCTTGAACAAGATCAAGCTCTTTACGATTCTTCCGAGAAAGAAAAATACCGTTTCCGAGTGAAATGAAATTCTGAATCCGAATCTCTCAGAGAAGGATTCAAGAGAGTACCGTTGACGAAAATATCGCGATCTCTTTCTCTCTCGACGAGTTTCGAAATGTTGAAAACTACACGAGGACGATCTCACGATTTTTATACGTCGATCGCATTTCAATTTATTTTCGGACATCAGATAGAGTCATAATGATGACATATTACATCATCAGGGGCTCGATTGTGTATCTTGAAACGAGATAGAAATTACAAAAAATAAGCAAATTCATTAATGTCCGTTTCTACCAATGTAGTTTTTAATTTTAATCTTGATTCGAGATTAATTCTTCATTTTTTTTCTAATTAGGAGAATTAGAAAAAAATGAATTTAAGTTAATCTATGTTGGTAGAAACGAGCATAAATGTTGACCAAAGAAATTATAAATATTCCAGTACATTTACTCACTCTTGTAATTTTCACTTCGTTTCAAGATATATAATCCTCCTAAGATTTAATTTATAATAAGATCATAATAATGTCTTTATAATATCATTATGACTCGTGTTCTACCTAGATTTTTCGCTTCTTTTTTATGTGTGAAAATATTGTATTATACTAACATGAAATCTATCTATTACTAAAGCAAAAAATCGATGCTCCGTTATTGCGCAACAATCTTTTAGAAAGTTTTCATCGCTCTAATTACCCGCTAATTAACATTCAGCTTGCAGCTAATTTCAATCGGTACATCATAATGTCGGACTCCATAAAGCGTTACATTTCTGATCACCAATGTATAAAAAGCGAGCTATTCGAATGCGTTCCAGTAACGCTGGAAAGCTGCTAAGTGAAATCTAAATATCGAAGGACAACTCGTATTCGCGAGTACATGCTCGAAATTGATCCTGTCATCCCAGAGCGCGGCTGTAAAGATATAGGCGCGGAGAAGAGAGACGAAGGAGAGGAGAGCCACGGAGATGCAATCGACGGGTAAAGAAGGGGGGGAAGAAGGGAGGAATGGGGGTCTGCTGCCCGGGCACCTCAACCTTGAGCGTGCGGACGGGGAAAAAATCGCGACGCCTCTGCGCAAAAATTAATGAGAGCGATACAACATGGCGGCCTCGCCCGCTGTTGATGTTTGTTCCCTTCACCCCTCCCCCCCCTCTCCCTCCACCTTTCTGTGCGGGCTCCATTTCGCCGGGTATCGTTTTGGGCGCGGTGTCACGCCGTCCGGATGAGTGACTAGAGGGTGGAAGGACGAAGGAAGAAAAAGAGGGCAAAAGGGAGACAGAGAGAGAAAGGGACAATAGGTCATCCTTCGAGATCCCAGCAACCCTCTGTCCAGGCCTGTTGGCGCAGGTCGGGTGTCGCCAGCTATGGGGCTTACAGGAAACACCCCAATATCGGACTTCACCGGATGCGGCATCTAGACGCTTTGACAGTCGTCTAAACAAACCCCCCGCCTCCGTGAATCTCACTCCACCTGTCTATCGTGTTGCGTGCGGCGTCTCGTCGTGGCCAATCGGAATTCAGAAGCGAAGCGCGCGTTCGCGACTCACTTCAAGTTGGATCGCCTCTATTGAACACAACGCACAGATATCTTGCAAGATTAATATATATTTTTTTAATCTTTTCTCAACGAGGAAATTAAGTAAAATTTAATATGTCATGAGATCATTTCTAGTCTGACCTTCTAGTTAAAAAAAAATAATTATTTCTAAATAATTATAATGTTCTCTCGAAAATTTTTTTTAATGAATCTCATTCTGAATTCTTATAGAAATTAATACTAATATCGGCCAATTAATACTAATTTTGAGTAATAAATAAAATAAGTAATTAATTGATCAATACTAGTATTCTATAAAGGAACTCTTAAAGATTGAAAATTGAGCCTCTCTTTTTCAAGGCTCAATTCTTTAAAGTGAGATTTCATTCCAAAGAATTTAGAGAGATTATAATTTATTTTTCAACGATCCCAAAAATTTTATATCTCTGAAAATTTAAAATATTTCCTTAAAGATTAAGAAAGATTAATTGTTACTAAAAATACCTTATCCGAAAAAAATGTTAAATTCTAAAAAATAAAGTAATAAATAGATAAATTGATTTTTCTTCCAACTTAAAAAGGGCGATGATCTTAACTTCATATTTATATAAGACGCGCGTGTGTGTGTGTGTGTGTGTGTGTGTGTGTGTGTGTGTGTGTGTGTGTGAAACAAGATTATGTGGAAAAAGATGCGAAAAGGCGATTGAATTGCTCTTTATGCCATGCATTATTTATTTATCGATTCATACATTTTTAAAAATTGATTCACATTTCCAAAAAACATCTGATTTCTATTATTACAGGAGTGACGTAAAAACGATAAATCGGTACACAATCCTACGGGACTTTGAAGTCGAAGGAATACTGATTAGAACGGTTTCAGCATGTAAAAATGCTCGCCCGGGACTATCACATCCGCGGGAAACGGTGGAGGTAATTCGTAGCATTAAAGTGGTACAATAACAGACTTCTACGGTACGCAACACAGGTTCCGCAGGTTGTAATGACGAGTCTCGACCCTTCCGCAGATTCGTATTCTATTCCGGGATCGTATTTCGGGATTATATTATTACGGGGATGGAAAAGAAACGCCGGGTACATACAAGAAAACGTCGTTGTGATGTCACTAAAATTAACTCGGGGATGGAGGAGGTTTCGCACCCCTCATTTTCGGCCATGGGACGAAACTCGTACTAGAACGCGGCGTAAAACTCGTGTTACGGGTCGAGAATGTGTACCGAAATACGCACGAGTAGAATACGAGAAATTTATAGATATACGAAGCTGCAAGAGAGAACACGTTCGCAAGCAGTTCGGAGAAAGATGTATTTAGTATATATTAAAAAAAAA